AATACACTTCCTGGCATACATACACACATACATACATACAGACAGACACACATACACAGTGAGATACATACAGACAGACCTGAGACAAAATAAGTCGAGACATTACTGGAGGTCACTGAAACGCTTTATGTAATGTTGAATAGTAACTTATCCGAGACTGACCTATATCTCACACACACACACACATATGTAAGTTTTGACCCCAGTTATAACTACTTTTTATTGTTACATAGAGAGAGAGACCGAGGCAAACGTACATACAACGACAGAAACTTAGACTACAAATACAGTAACATAATTTTAGGGGGGGCTATTGTACTTACTATTATTTCCAGGATATGCATAAATCTGAGATCAAATATATTTTCTTTATATTCGGGCGATTCATAAACGTAAATACTGTATACACAAAGAAATAAAAATTATACAAGACAGTACAGTACTTTATAGTATCAACCAATCAGAATTCCACAAGGCTACCGCGTCTGTTAATGTCTCAATGGGAAAAAAAATATATCTCATTAACTCTAATGTTGTTGATATTCTAATAATTACACTTTTTAGACTCATTTTTTATTTACAAATTCTTTATCCTATGTCGAAGGAGATAGTTTAGCCCAGGGTCAAGGAAAATACGATAACATACCAGAAAACCTGTTTACATGTTTTCCTTCAGTTGTATACAAAACAAGAGATTCTTATCTTTGTTGATAGTCACTGCTTGTAAGATCCGTTGTTAAATTAATATATATAATAACTCCACGTTGATAATAATAACTGCTACCCTGCCAGAACCTTAAATGTTGAGTAGACGGTGTTCCAATAATATATTACTCTGGGTGGCTGTAGTGAATGGCGGGAAAACTGGTTACGTGTAAGTTTGCTTGTATTTTATCATTGAGATAACCTGTGAAGTGGAGAGGGGTGGAGGGAATTTGAAGGCCTCGATTTGTATGATTAGATTAGTTATAACTGAGAGTGATAGGCATAGTTGTGAAGTTGTTTGTTGGGGAATGTTCTTATCAAAGGAAAAACAACGCCGCTTGTGGTAGTGAAAACTGATTAAGCTCTCAGTAGTTAATTGCGTTTTAATCGCGTGTGTGTGTGTGTGTGTGTGTGTGTGGTCTCTCTTTTGCTGTAGTATTCATATAATTAGTTTGTCCAAGTCGCGTTTCTATATAGACTGACTGTAGAACAGAAACAATTACACGGAAGTAATTATATATGTCTCCGCAGCAGAATTGTAAATACATTAATGTAAATAAATATATATCTCCACATCTGAACTCTCAAACGGAAAGAAATACATGTAAATAAATAAGTATGTATCCGTCACACAAACCACTAACAAAATCACCTCAGCAGGCGCTTCAGCTTTACGGGAAAAATCAGGGAATTAAAAATAATCAAATGAACAATAAATATCTACAATGCCAAGTGCAGTGCTACATGTTGAGGGTTGATATCAGGGGCGTAAACAGTAGATCAAGTACTCGACAGGAGGAGATACAGGGAGACTGGTCGAGGCCACTATGATCGATACAGCTAGTGCCACGCCCCTTCAGATACTCAATAGTCTTGGCAACAACAATCGTCACTAAGGAGACCATCCCCTACTTGAGTGTACTTATAGATAATACTCATTGCATGTCAAATGAAGGTGAATTCCTCAAGGAGTTTAAGAATTAATGATGAATAATTTTCTTTTCCGTTTCAACATCGATACTATCAAAGCCTAGTAGAAAGATAGGACACGTGTCAGCGATTTTTTACGTGTTTGAAGTATAATTATTTGGTGTTGTTTTGTCTCTGAAAGTCAATTCGGATCATATGAAGATTAGCCCCAAGGTTATTTCTCCGGATGATTAAACGGTGGTTAGGTTAGGTTAGATAATACCCGACAGTCAACCTCACGGTTTTGATTTACCGCTTGTACCCACAGTCAACACCGCACGACTAGGCTAAGTTAAGCCTTTGACGATCCCCACCTCCATGAGTACATTGAACTCGCCCGAGTAAGGTTTCTTGACCCCTAGAGTACGATGACCTAACCCTTTAAGTACGGTGATTTAAACACCCCTTGAGTACAAATGAAAACATATGTATGGTTCTCATTAAAAAAAAAACGTAACTGTATATAAATAAATTGAACGGCCTGAAAAACATGCTTGTAATCCTTTACCATACTAGGCAAAGAGAACGACACTAAGCCTAGCAGACAAGTCTTGGTAATTTTAGCGGGAAATGTGACCAGATCAATATAAGAATAGCGTGGCGTCCCCGACTAAAATCAAATCGATGTAAACGACGTAGGGTTTGTCAGTTGCCTTCTCTTGTAGCATTTGTTTTATTTATCTTGTATACACATACATACAGAGAAGCGTGAGCAAGTACATACACAAACTCATTAACACAACCATTCAGAGCAATTGATTTTGTATGGCATTGTCACGATACTTTCTTACCCACCTCACTCCATCTCTCCTCCCTCCCTCCCTCTACACTTTCCCTTAGTTTTTACCTCACAATCATACTGGTGTGGTCAGTACCCTCACCACCGACACATCTTATACTGAAAGAAAACTCTAGAACTGTGTACACAAAGTAGATCTCAGCTAAATTACTACTACGAACGGGTCGATGACAGTAGCCTGTGGGAAATACAGAGAAGAATGTACTAGCAAGCAACCTTCTGGGTCAGACTAGGGCGTGGCGTGCCAAGTCTAGCTAACTGGCCTTGCCACCCACCTGGGCTACTCTTTGCAATTACGAAATCAACTTTATTTTTATTTTTTGCTGGATTGACCCTATGTTTGTCTGTGAACGATTTGAGACCACACAAAAAATGAGAGAACTAAGCATTTATACGTTGTCATAATAATGTGAAATATCGTACTGCGTGGAATTTAAAACAAGTTCACGATGACATGAGGTACAACGGTAAAAACAATGCTGTGCAACATAACTCAGAAAAATGTATGAGAGTATTTGGCGTCAGGCAAAAGCTGGCTTCGTCTCGTACGATACTCGCACCATCGCCTTGTTTAGTTGCCAGCTAGGATTTTTAATACTGCATACAACAGTAACGTTCACATTAATATTCTGTATTTTTGTCATATATATATATATATATATATATATATATATATATATATATATATATATATATATATATATATATATATATATATATATATATATATATATATATATATATATATATATATATATATATATATATATATATATATGTATATATATTTTTTTTCAATTGTTTTTTGCGTATATATAACCTATATGGATATTAATACTGGGAAGACATTTTTAAACAATGAGAATTATACAGTACATGGGAGCTTATCTAGTGTCGTCACAACCTGTTCAAGGAATGACTCGGAAATCACCCGAGTAAAACCCATCTTGGTGTGTGTGTGTGTGTGTGAATCATAAGCTTACACACAGGAAAATATCATCTCAGATAACGTATTGATAATATTTACACTAATTTGACCAGGACAGTATTATATGCAGACGCAACATATTTTTTATTGTTTTTTGCGAAATTTTGATTATCTTTCAAGCTTAACTGTTATTGAATTTTTTTCGTACTTCGGAGAAACTCACTTGACCATTTTTTTAAGTGCACGCCTGTAACTGAATCACCCTGACGAATATTATATATATTATAAAGCAAGACTTAAGAATATCGCAGGTGCCATGATAATCCATCCTGTCGTCAAGCTGTTTGGGATGTAATGAATGTTCTTAATCAGTTCGATGCTTATATACGGAATAGTAAATGAAAGTTGTGTACTTAATATATGTGTACATTTCGAAAGACAGATTAATAAGTACATTTAATATTAAAATTTAATCTAATCATTATATACTGTGCGGAGATGACTCAGCAAGTTTCCCTACACTTTGTTTCCATAATTATGGAAAGTTGAATTTACACGATAATTATAATCACCTATAAAAAACAAAGGTGTTGTTGTTTTTCCTGTGTCAATTTGGGCGTTATGTAAATTATAAAAAATAATAATAATGACCCAGCCAGTTCTTTTATTTTGCTAAGCCTGTTGAGTGTAGCGAAGCACTTGTATATCATAATTATTTTACGGTTGATTAAACATTTAATGCATGGATAACTCTCTCTCCTCTGAGAGTAAAACGAGAGAAACATTTCTTAATTTTTAATTATAGATGACTAGTGTAAATAAATAACCTAAAGTATGGGCCTAAAATCTTTAGTTGTAAAAGCACAGTACATGTAATACATTAGTACAGCAACATCTGAAATTATAATGCAGTGTCAAAGGTGACACCAGAGAGCGTGTGGGCGGTCCGGCTTCAGCAAGTTCCGCTTTAGCAGCTGACTGTAGCAGTACTGTATATGGACGGTGTCCTCGTGAGGTGAGGTGGAGGGGCATAACAACACTTGCCCGTATTATGGTGAATATTTGCCTTAATTTACTTTTTATTTTAGTTAACGTGATTTTCCTGAATATTAAAGGAAAGGCGTGTGTGTATAGGAAATGTAACTAATATTCATAATAATAACAATAAAAAGGTTTCGCTACTCGGAAATCCGGTGGGTGTCGCACCCGGCTTATCGATCCTTACAGTAACGTTCATGTTTTCTAATTTTGAAGTTGATGTTACCAGTGTAAGGCAATGTAGTGTTTAAAAACTTAAAACACGTTTTACTGCTTATTAACGATGTCCAATGTGTGCAAAGAATGAATCTTCTAGAACAAACTACAATGATATTGTGTGGAAAACTTCACCATTCAGAGTCTTGCTGGTAAAATTAAGTAAATGATGTCTGGTTTTACAAATTATCATAAGAGTTCTTTGAAAAATATTCAAATAGAATGTTTTGGCTTATTATTAAATAGAAAAATAACCTTTGTCCCAAGCGCCGTCTGTAAAATAAATCGAGGTGTATAATAGTCCAGGAGAGGTAACTGGCAACTGAGAGCTGGGACATGAAGCGAGGGCCACTCATCGAGCACATGTTAGCGCAGTGCGTCGAGTACATCGAACGAGCGAGCACTCACGTTTTGGACCTCGTCACATAAAGTACTATTTTATTGATTGTGAGTGAATTTGTGTGCGTTTCTTGACTTAGTGCTGTTAAGGAAGATGTGATGTGTAAATAGAATTAAGAGAATATAACAATTACAAGAACACCAGTGTGCCTTTGTGAAATAAAACTAAGTCTTTGTCTGTCAGTGCAGAACTCGGCCTCATCCCAGCTGATATTGTGGTTGCCAAGCGTGCAAGACTCCCCTCAAAATATTAACTTTAGAAAATCATGTATTTGACTTACGTTGGTTCTATGAATCCAAACGATATTGTTGTCTGGTACATATTCATGGAGAGAACAGATATATCAGAGGTATTACATAACCGCACGTACTGTATGTACATGTAGTTTGTGAAAAGGCGAATTTGAAAGCGAGGCAGAAACTGCGACTGTGTATTGATTTCTGGTTCCTTTAACCCGAGTTACCGGCAAAGTTAAGGTGTGGTCTTGATGTATCGTCAATTCAGCTCTACAAACAAGAAAGCCGGAGTTGTACCATCGCTGGGTTGACAGCTCCCAGGAACAGTAGTAAACAAGAGACTAACCTGATACCAGAGACCGCTTGGCAACTCAAAACCCCCGGGCTTAAAACTCCCAAGTTGCATCATTGGTCATGCAACAAACATGCAGTAACAAGCATTTAGTTTTAAAGTATCTATGAAAATATGCATTTTATTGAGTATTTAGCAGGTGTCGTGCTGGGTCTCAATTGACAGGACGTTAAAAGTGCACTATGGACAACAAATAATAGGCACTTGAATTTTCTAGTTGGGAAATATAAGCCTGACTGGAAATAACACTTTTATTAAGCCATCAACTTTTTAAATTAAAGATTAGCATTGACGCAGCCCAGTTTTCTTGTATATAACGCGAGTCAGTCCTACCTAAAAAAAATCGAAAAGCTTTGTTATTTTTACGAACAAACACGGTAAACATTGAAATTCAGTAATCGGTAAAATCTTGTTAGCAGAGTGTTTGTAGTCAAGTGTGAATAATTAAATATGATTTGTTGGATCATTGTTGACTAGTGAATAGAATTGACAAGAAAGATCGGTTTGTTTTAAGGGCTGCAGCATCCATCTATATACGGGAAAATGAAATATAGCCTAGACAACCTTTCATCACCCCGAGGAATTTGTACGTAACATATCCATTTGGGAAAAAAAATTATATATATATATATATATATATATCACCTCCCTGTAAAATATTATGAAAGTTGTATACTATAAATACTGGAATAATTTAGTAGAGGAAAACTCGACTTGGAGGCGTTGCAGGTGCGGTGTGACGTCCGATGGGATGCAACCTTCGTGGCTATCTGCAGCACTCCTAATTCAAAGATTACGGTTTGACTTACGCTCGATTTGGATGCAAGTGGCATTTAATTATGGATTGGTGTTGAGAGCAGTTATTATTGATTTTCCTATTAACTCGAATGTCTCATTTATCATTTGAATATTTTTTTACCCCTATTATTAGTCACAACGGCAATTATCTCCATTCAGTGCTTATTTAAGGATACAGTACTATGCATTCATCAGGTGATATATTTTCGGTAAATGTAGGTACAGTATATAATGATCCTGCGGAATATTTGGTTGTTTTCCTTAGATAATTTTATGAAACGTATATTAATGCTTACAGGCCTGAATGATTCGGTGGGAGAGCGAGGAAAACTAAATGGAATTCACCTCGGTTACGGCGAGTAGGCACTGTAAAGTGATGAAAGAAAGGAAATTGAACTGTGATTTATGCAAGAACGAACCAAGTTTTGCACAGTAACGTTTTTCGCTAAAAATAAGAATGTTCAGTTTTTTTGTCAGTTAACCGGAAAGTGCGGAAACGCACATCATTTAGTTCATAAATTTTCATTTCCTGTGCGTCGTGAAGAAAACGATGATAATTCCACCTCAAGTAAATACGGATGATCTAAGGAAACCTGTCTTAACATAAACTTGCCTTATTTAACCGATGGTGGAGGCTGGTCCTGGGTATATCGTGAAGAAGTAGCCACACTAAATACGCTCCAGCGAATTGGAGAACCACCGAAGTTGTAAAAATTTTCTTAACTTTATAATTTAAATAACTCCCAAACTAAGCATTTGCCCCAGAAACACAACAGAACAAAATCGAATATTTGTTTTTATTTTAAATGCGAGAATAACTATCCCAAGTATGAAATCGTGTGCGATCCTAAAACGAATATTATCCGAGGAAACTTATTAGTGGAATGTTATGCTAAAGCAGCTGTGCGTCAAATTTGATATACTGTATGTACTAGTAAGAAAAAATGAAAATAAGTAGTATCACTTGACCAGCGGCCACGGGCATCTGGCATTCAGTAATGCGATGGAGGCTATTTTCTTTTAACATCTGCTCAAGGTCTCCCGTTTGACCCTGATAAAGAACACCTGTTACCCAGGAGTGTTCACAAGTACATATATACGTACGCATCATTTATGGTTATATCTTGTTCGGTGGCGGGTATGTATCGTCGTTAGGTACACAAAACTGTATGTATATTTAGTGAGTTATTTTGTGACCACCTGCATCAGAGAGTTAAATGATGCATGTCGTTAAAAAGATTAAACGATAAAACTCGTACCTCACTCCTGCTTGTTTGGTGCGTATTCGTAGCTAGTGATGAGTCATATAGCGACCTGTTTCTGACTAGCTACCACACTTTGCGGTAGGGAGCCGTGAATCGGGCTGTATAACGTAAGTTTAATGACTGTACAGTAGTGTGAAAACAAATGGTTGTCTTTTAATTCTCTTACCTTTGTTTAATTAATATTGATCTTAAGAAAAAATACATCTGTTCTTTCGTATGATATAACCCCCTAGCACTGACCTGCATAATACACATCTGTACCTAGTGTATTATTAGTACAGTATATAAAGTCTGACGGCATATATTAATGACCAGTGTAGTACAGATGTACTGTACAGTATTATTGTGAGTTGGTCAAGAAGTGTTTACATAGCATACTGGCTGTCAGGCTTGTTAAGGTACAGCGCATAATGATTATTTGGCTTTAAGAGTACTGAGTTTTTTATACTAAAGTTTGATTAGATTGCTGTTACTGTGTACTGAATGTGTCGAAAAAAACCAGTATATAGTACAACCAATCTTTCATGTAGAGCTTTTTGAATTGTGTTGGTTCTGATGTAAATAATACATACTGTACATGTAGCTATTACACCTTTGATTGTGGAGTAATATTAACATTTCTTGAATCCTCCCGTGGCAGCTACAGGTTTGAAGTAATTGGGGACAGGCTCCCCTTTGCGTTAACTTAGGCTAGAAGAGCATGAACTACATCGGCAAGTTCATATCCAACTTCAAGGATTTCTACAATGAGATCAACGCTGCTACTTTAACAGGTAAGAAACCGGCCCGTGTGTATTTGTTTGGGGTATTTTAAATTGATAGGGCGTTTGTGGTCTTATATAACATGCACTGGGATCTCCTGCCTTAGCATTCGTTTTTAGGTTGTACGGTTACTCAAAAAACTATATATGATCGATGAATTTCAGAATGAACACTGCGACTCCTGTTGTCTAGGTAGCGTTGTCAAAATCCTTCGTCCGTTGTGTCATATTTGCTCAGTACAATTTGTAAAGATGGGTTTTTGACTGTCTGTACGTAGCCTTAAAGATTTGGTTAAAATGATAGGATAATATTGCGGTTAGTAGCTAGTGTTGGTGTGGACTTGAAGGGCGAGGTGTCTTTGAGCCGATTTGAATGTCGAGTGTTACTGTATACAGGTGATGTAGGTTAGGTACTATCATTGATAAGGGAGATCAATGGAATAGGTTTCTGAATATGGCTTAACGTTTAAAATATAATTATCTTTTTTATAAAGTCTTTAGATGATGAGACATACGGTACATCATCTTAATGCTAATGGCAGTAATAATGTTTTTACAGGTATACTGATCATTACAATAAGCTGGGATTAACTTCATAGCTGTAGTAAAAAAAAAGCATTTATCATAGTTCTTATAGTACCATCATCGGTACTTGATTTACTCAGTTAAAATGTTGATGTTTTAGGCTTATTATCTGGTGAAGTGAGAGTTAAGTGACAACCTGTTAAAGAGAGAAGGTAGTGTACTGTAGACGTAAGAAGAATGTGACGTGTTTGGACTATCGTGTAATGTTATCTCAAAACACGAGCCCTACAGTCAAACACGCAATCGATTCGGTTTCGTAAGGATTCGATAATGTTTATGACCGAGACATGTGCAGTATTCCCTTACACCACCTTCCTCCTCAGACATAAACACACTACCACACGAGTTTCCTTGTATCTCTTCTGCTTTTGTTTCCTTTTTCGTATTTTCACTCTCGTCTTGCCATTCCCTTTCATCTTCCACTGTCTTATTATTTTCTCTATATAATTACTATCATTAAAAGCGAAAGTATATGCGGTAGCTGTTTGGTAAAAAAAAAATTCAAATTGTTAAAATATTTCATGCTGATATAGATTGTTTTTCATCGATGTGATTTGTTTATTTATTTACGTGATGACTGGTTAATTGTGTCCCTGGGAGAGATGTTGGTGTGATGGAAATAGTACACCTTACTCGGTCCACACCTGCCCCCCCCCCCCTCCCTGTGTGTTGACCCCTTTGTTCGTCTACTGGTACTTTTTGTATCCACGTTATCTAATACTGCATTTCTCTTCCCCCCGTGTACCAGGCGCCATCGATGTAGTGGTGGTGCGGCAAGAAGATGGCACCTTCCTCAGCTCCCCGTTCCACGTCCGCTTCGGCAAAATGGGCGTACTTAGGAGCCGGGAAAAAGTGGTAAGTACCCTCCATTAGCTGGCGACCCTTTCTTGGGACCAGTTATAATAGTCGATGAGATCTCTCTCTAGTCTCATGGTGGCGAATATACTTCCTGGTAGAGCGTGATAAGGGTAAGAGGCGTTTCCTATGGACTGACGCACGCTACGGTGAGTCAGGGGCCCGTCTGTCTGTCTCTTGTGCAAGTGAGGACGGGGAGCTCGCCTACTGATGTTATTGATATATTTTATAGTTAAGGGAGGAATGTAGGTGTCTTGAGTCAGTACATCTTTAAGGTCCGTCTGTTTGTGCCGGGCGTGCGGTCCTAACGTCTTCCCTGTCATTCTCTACCCGCGATACGTCACTTATTTGCTGGCGTTATGTGATTGGGAAGAGGCATCAGCTGGGGGTAACTGGTGGTAGGGGTATAGGATCCTGTGTCGGCTGCGGTGAGTCGGTTGTGGCGAGTCAGTAGGCTTGTCCCCACATCCATCTGGTCTCGCTCCCACTAGCCAGCGTGGGGGCAGGATGAACAGTCAGCTAGGGCGAGATAGTTCCCCCTCCAAGGCGTGGCTTCCAGCACCACCTGGGAGGGAACAACACGCCCTGGGGAGCCATCCCGACACCCCTCACCCATAACCTGTTCCGCGTGTACAAGACTCGTTTTGAACCTGCTACTGTTGCTAGGGCTGCTGTTCCCATGCTTCTAAATACTGTAGTTACTTCACCAGCGTTTATAAACTTAAGCTGTTAAGAGGAAGATGAGTATGAACTTGATAGTGGTGTATATTATCAGGTTGAGATCATTGCCCGTCGTCAAGGGATATTCAAGGTCGGGCCTGGCAGGTGAGCGCCACCCACTTATTTCAAGTAACATCAGCGAGGTTATAATTGTAACTCGTCTTACCCACCATTTACTGTATATATACCGGTATTCATATTTGTTCACCCACTTTTCTTTCCTAGTCGCTGTGTTTTCGTTAAATGGACAGCAAATATATTAAAAAATATATTATTGTCTAAAGAAGATGGCAGACGTGTTTTATTGACAACTTCGCTGCGTGCTTGTTGGTAATTTTCTATGCACTCTTGACATGAGGCCGTATTGCCGCTTCCCCCAAAACCAAGAGGCTCCTTCAATCCCTCCACACCAGGACAAAGAGACAAGGAAGCAGTAGAGGGTGTGGCTGGGACAGTGACCCCTTCGGCCCACTATCACACACACAGCAATATATTTGGTAATGATAATCGCCTTGAGTTGATTATTCGTATATCAACGCAGTGATCTTGTCTCGTCTTGATACAGGTTATGAATGTTATATAAATTATACTGTTATTTAAAGCAAGTCGTATACATAGTTGTGCATATCCATGTTTGATGCCTGTTGTACTCCACTTGACAGTTTCAGATACAAAATTGTGTTTTTGGTAAAGAACTGTAATGAATTGACGGTACAGGTAAAAAAAAAATGGCGGTAAGGTTGTGTTAATTTCCTACCCGGCTTGATATTGTTACCACAACTGTCTAGACGGGGGATTTGGTAGTATTGTTGACTGACAGCGAGAAGACAGTTTCCCCTTATTTATATATTTTTAATTTCTCTTCCTTTCTTGTGAGGGAAACATTCGTAGAGGAAATTAGACTGATAATGATTAGCAACAGATCGCCAGACCCTACACTCAACAGAACTATTTATTACATGTACTGTAGAAGGAACAACTGTCTCTAGCATTGGTGGATACATTTACGCCACATGAGGATTTGTATTATATCTTCGTTGTCTTGTTAATATATCAGTGGTTTTCTATGTTGTCCATTGACCTCTGCCTCATCTTATGCATCACAATGTCCCAAATCTTTTTTTAATAAGGTTTCCCTCTTCGCTTAGTGGTATTTACCCATTTCAAGTGCCAACAAGGTACTGTACTGGCAGCTTGTGTTATGTGGTCTACCCTCTTTAGTGCTAACAACGGCGTACCAACTGGCATCCTTGGGTGTTATACAGGTGTTCTTGGCAAGGTAGAGTTAGTTGCCGCAATGAATATGAATTGTTTGCTATTGTAGGTATTTTAACGTGAAAATAACTCCTATCCTGGTGAAGTGATAATGGCAACCAGGTGGGTAGTGTGGTACAGCTTCACAATAAAGCGTGTAAGACCAGTTTTTGTGTGGAGAACGTCGCCATCTCTCACGCGTAGGATGTTGCAAAACGTTGTCAAGCGCGCGTGGTATTGATCATGGCGGGATTTGTTGGTGGTGGGGCGCTTAAAGTGGAGGTGTGGCAACGATCTCTGGAAGACTTCACGGTTAGATGGTCTATAGAACGTGGTTAAAGGTGGCTTAAGTTACGTAGCCTAGCAGCAGTCGTTATTAATTAAATTAAATGAGGACGATAGTACTGTACTTAGCGAGTGTGGGGATCGGCGACACCTGTGCCAAGAGTGCTGTACCTGGGGTTCTTGCCTCTTAGCTATGGAGAGATACAGTTGCCAACAGTATGATTGGATATTAGGTTTTGTCTAGTACTGTAAAATATGTAAGCTGTCCCCCCTGCAAAGAAGCCATGCCTCTGTAGTCACCGAGACAAATAGGCGGGTACTAAGGTCAGTGTCCTTCACACTTGAACTTGCCCAAGAAATCTTAAAAGTTATATTTATGGTAAAACACGAATGTGCTAGCCCTCCTGGTTCTTTCCTATAGATTGTGGTTTTCAGCGACACAAATATACGGATTGATAAACATGGTTTCTGTGGACGGCTGTAATACTGATCAAAATTTAACTGACTGGTCACCCAGTGTAGCGATAATATAGAATTAAGTTCACCGTTTTGCCGAAACTGAAATGGATTCAATTTAATTAGCTCTAATGATTGTCCAAGTTCCCAGCTGCCCGTATTTCGTTGTTTTGGTACTACGTTCTTCCCAAAGCATTTCATGCTGACTTACCACCAGACAGCTGTCCGAACGTTGCCTGACGTACGATCAAAGGGAGATAAGTAGTACTCCTCGGAGAATTCAAACTCGGTACATTATATCCATTGATTATATAAGTGAACTCATCAGCTCGTTAACAGCCGTGTCTTTTCTGTAATGTAGCAGCAGCGATAAGAAGTATTTATGATTGAATATGTCAGTTACCTCAAAAGAAGTAGAAATACCAATATCTTGTATTCCGTCAAGTACAAAATATTAAAATTGAAAATGAGCCTGAATTTGTTTATCGGTGTACCCTTTAACAGTAAAGGACACAAGTTGAAGAAACAAGGTTCACTCATTGAAACAGTTGCTGTAATGCACAGTGAAGATGTGTGAAAGCCGCAGGTGCAGTAGGGAGTGTTAAGCGGTTGTGTTGGGGTCAATAGGACGGGATATCCTGGTCATCCCGCCATTCCGTCTGAAGGACTAACTGGTATATTTAGCTGTGAGTAAGGCTGGTTCGTATTTTCATAGTTGATTGAGTGCTTGTGTTGTGTGTGTGATTTGTTGACCATATTTCGGTGTTCGTGTAACTTTCATTTGTGTGTATTTTTTTTTTGTTATTCCCTTCGTTGCCAGTTTTCTAATGTAGGTGGTGGCACTATCTCTCCATAACAGTAAATGCAATGCTAAAGCAAATATTTTGTAAATGATAAGTAGGTGAACAGTTTTTTTTTAAGGGGGGGGGGAGGAGGGGGGGGGTTGGTTGGTCTGTCTGACTGACTGACTGACTGACTGACGTTAATAGATACTGAGCATCCTTTAACTTTGGACTATTTAAATAGTTGTGAGGTACTTATAAACATCCGATGAGTGGTTTTGTAAGTGTTTTAGATTTGTTTAGTTTATTCATTCTCTACCCAGCGATACGCTTTCAAAGTACCAGGGTGATTTTCACAAGTCATTCTTGAGCTTGTTGGTTGAGCAGAATTAACCCGGGGAAGAAGTGTTGCTCGCCCTTGCTTTCTGATAATATTTTGGGTACTATTTTTGTTTCGGTCATCTTGGGAATTTAGGTTAGGTTACATATAGATCCTGGGTTCTGAGGCGAGGTTAGGTTAGGTTAGGTTAGGTTAGGTTAGGTTAGGTTACATATAGATCCTGGGTTCTGAGGCGAGGTTAGGTTAGGTAGGCTTGGATATCTAAATAACGGTTGATCTCATATGTTGTTTATGTTTGCTTGGAAGGTTCAGGACTTTGCTGTTTGGATGGTGTTTATCAGCGGGTGTTCAGGATGTCACTTTCTTGGCGTAACCTACTTCGTAATGATCATTTTGTATTTCATCCATATCTTGTGTTTATCGAAAAACCTACCGTAGTTTTTGTTGTATATGAATTGGAACATCGTGTTAAAATAGTTAGATTTAGTGTAAACATTAGTACTAATTCTGAATATTCGGGAGTGAATATTACTTTAGTTATTTATCGTGGATTTATAACTTGATATTTACTAGTTACATATGATGTGTAGTAAGTGGATAAGATTCATCGGTACCAGCAACGAGAAGTAGGTGGTGACATATCCATTGGTATTCCCTACTTTCTCACCTTGAGGTCACTAGCGCTCTCTTCCCCACTTACGTCACTATGGAGCGAGCTCAGGTACGCTAGTTTGTCACCCACTGCGATCCCATGATGATCAGCTCTGAGGCCCTTCCGTGGCGTGTCGTTGGTAATATTGCATTGCGTTGCGTTGCGTTGTGGAAGGGGCTACTATCCCATCAGAATAATGATACTAACTTATTGTATACTTTAGTTTAAGGCACTATAGATGGTGTAAGTGAATATACATCCTTTGTGTGTAACAACAACATTTTACTGTCATTTCCACCTTTCTAGTGAGATTAACATGAAATTAATGTAATGATGGAGAAGTTATACCAACGGGACTAACGGACGAAGAGTGTAGTGCCTCGGTGACCGTTACCATCTCTCACCCTCATGCTATTATAACCCAATGAGTGGTAGGGGTTTCTCCTAGCTGAATAACATCGTCTAGTGTTAGCCAGAATAAAATACCCAAGTACGACACTACTCCTTAAAGGTTTAATGCTGCTCACATTGATATCAGTATCTAGCCTCCCCTAATAACCCTAGCTGTTTATTAATGCCCCGTCAACCTCATTATTGGTGTAGTTATGGAGAACTGTTTTGAAAATTTTAATCAACTTGTTATATAAGTGAAATCTTGATAAACCTGTCCAGAGGTGCGCGTGACTAATTTGTCAGTATAGTCGTAGAAGGAAGTACGTGAAGCCATGGTCCATGATCTTCACAGCGTGTGTGGATTACGGCTATACACACTTTCCTTTGTGGTGGCAATGGCGTCTTTTATAGTTACTAGGAGGCGTGGTTTTGGATGACTAGGTGGGCGAGGTACAGTCTCACCCAAAAGTTCGTTAACTCTCCCAGCCAGCTATTGTTGCACTGCCTGCTTCAGATGTTTGAGACTCAGCACCAACCAGAACATGAAATCGATACGAATGAATTTAAAGGTTCGAAGTAACAGACCCAAGTTCATACACCTGAAGCAGACAGTGCAGCAATAGCTGGGTGGGAGAGTTAATCAACTTTTGGGTGAGACTGTACAACACTGGAGGACCAGACTTACTAGTATCTCCTCTATCATCACTCGGGGGTGATTACTTAATGGAAGTACACAGGGAGGTGCCATTGCGCCGACCTTCCTCCTTCTCTCTATATACTGTACTATATCGAATATTTTGTTGTCAACATTTTTGGTAAAAGATGACAGCAATGTTTAAAAAAAAAGATTAATCATATAGTCGACATAAGTCAGTTTACTTGACATATTTGTTGGCGTAATGTTCCAACACTGATGGTGCAAACACTTTCGTGAAATTTTCACATTGTTAATAACAGTTGCCAACATAATGTTGTTAATAACATTTGCCAACATAATGTTACTTACAATATTACGTTGGTGTGGTTCCACATTTGAGAGAAAAAAACTAACTAGTTCTTACACAGTTACACTGGATATATTTTCGATTCCGTATCTACTCTGGGTTAATTAGAGCCTTATGATGAATCCTACTTGAAGTTCCTTGAACTGGTGACGGCAAAAGCTGACCCATTATACCATATGGCATCACAAAAATTTTGACCAAGTCCCAGGTTGCTGATCGGACTTTCTGCCTCATTTACACACAATTGCAGGGTCTCAATTGTTTCTCTTACATGACAACACAACATACGTAAATGTACAATATATCGTTTTTATTAATTTATTTTTTCGTCTTTGTATTTATTTATGGTTATTATTATCCCCCCCGGCCTTGATGTGGGTCAGTGACCTGTGCCCGGGTGGGCTAATCCCCCCCCCCAAAAAAAAAGTATACAGCGTAGCAGTCCCACGCAGTCGTTGTACACGCCCACACTATCACCATGATGGAGCACATCTGTGTAACTTTTACTCGTGGTCTGGGGAACTCTTGATGTTTCAATGTGGACAAAATGAAGAGTTGGTGAGACGTGTGTGTGTGAAAAAAAAATGTGAAAATAAAATAACTTAGTGCTGGTGTTTCATCACCAATAAATTTGGTGTTATCACCAAGTCACTGGCTGGGGTGTAACGGGAGGCCAGAGCAGTGACTGCCACAAAAGTTTCCCATTTTAATCCTCTGGCCGGTATTATGTTTTGTCTTGTGTTTGGTGACCTAGGGAACTGTTCGAGAGAAGAAGAATCAAAGAAGAAAATAGGGACCGGCCTGCAACTAGAATCATGAGCGCCATCTCCTGTATAGTACTGCACTCCCATTTGACGTCATTGCAAACCGCTCTGTTATTATCAAGTTCCTCGTTCTTTTCGGCACAGTACTTACATTTTCACGTTTATTACATCTACCGAGACTTAAAACTTCATTTGAACACTGAAATCCCACTGTAGGAGAAGGTAAAACAATAATGTTATAGTTCATACATTAGTGCATGTGTTTGTGTGAGTGTGGGAGTGAATGGGTTGACTGAGACCTAACCGACCGCGGCAGCTGGGTAGGGGTGTGTAGGCTGGCAGACCAACTGGCGGTGTCAGTGGCTAGTAAGGGTCACCAGGAACTAGGGGTGTGGCAGTATAAAAACTACGAACTAGGATTAATCGTGCAGTGGCTGTCCTCACTCAGCCACACCTATTGTGGTACACATTTTGCGAAGGTCGTTAGCCCCCCCCCCCCTCCTAGCCCATTCCTGTTCATTATGCAAACTGCGTAAAAACAGAAAGTTATATTAAACTTAAAACCTCGTGTTTATTTTTTATAACTTGACTGATCGAAAATCTTTCAATTGTTCAACCTTTTCATCTATTGTATCAAAACATTAGCCTAACGTGGTCAAGTAGAGGGTGAGCCCTTGTCAAACATGATGTAAGTACGACCTGTCGTTTGTTATCCAAGTGAACAGATACAGCCGGAATGTTTCTGACAGGTAGTGATTACTTTATGATATATCCACAGCCGGTATCGAGTATTTTACGGATTTTTAGTTTGGGTCTTGCTTTTGTTGTTGAAAATGAACTTTCAGTTATTGAATGTGTTGTGTAATTAAAATTTCAACAAGCAGATAATAATGATTTGAATGATAGTATGTTAATAAAGAATATATGTGGGCGAAGGAGCAGACAACCAGTTTGGTGTGAGTCAGCAGGACTGGGCGGGGCAAGACCGACCAATATAACAGGTTCAGGACACTTCTTGAGACCGCACTGAACCTTTGTTTCCCTGTACGTATCATGCTCCTCCCTGAACCACTGAGCACACTCACGCTGGACACTACACAAACACTGTCGGCGTCGTCGTCGCAGAATTTCGTAGTACAGAATAGGTGGATAATAATTTTATTAATTGCTGAAAGAGACAGAACATTATCAGAAACGATGATACAACAGGGAAGGTCACGTCTCCAGTAAAGTACAGGTCGATTCGTTTAGGTGGGGACTGGGATATTGGCTGGGTGGGACCAAGCCCCTTGGCAGTCGCTTCTGAGAGTGATCGGTGAGAATATATATTACTTTTATTACTAAAATAGTCTCTTTTTGATTGTGAGGAATATGCTCGTTACTAAAGTCTTATTATTATTATTATTTTTTTTTTTTAAATGCTGAATCTTCAATGCCGGAAGGCAATTGTTTGGGACATATTGTTGACTAAGAAAAAAGAAAGTTTATTTAATGGAAATGTTATCAGTGAGTCCCACTCATTTCTTGTCATACTCATTTACAAGTGTTGTGAGAATCATCCACGTTAACCGCGCCTGTCAGTCTGGGTAGACAAACTGGAAATTTGCTTTAGTGTGTGTGTGTGTGTGTGTGTGTGTGTGTGTGTGTGTGTGTTGTAACTTACGCCCCCTACACACACACACACTCAAAATGCGCATACATGCACAGTGCACAACATACAAACATCACACATACCCATAAACATGTACACTTGTACAAACGTGCACACACATGTACAAACGTGCATACACACGCACACAAACGTGCATACACATGCACACAAACGTGCATACACACGTGCACATACACACTTTTGTTAATATTGAAGAGTAAATACAATAACAATCTTATGTGTAAATGGTTGGGTATCTAATGTCATAACAGTTCGGTAATGTGCAGTCTCCTGGTAATAGTTGCCAGACTGAGGACGCTAGATAAGCATTTCACAGAGATGCCACAAACCACAAAACGTATCATCCACTGTAGCTGGGATAAAAAATGTAGGTAACTACAGTACATACTGTAGTAAGAACCATTTTGAAAACCAAGCACTCTTAAAAAAAACTAAATCTTACCTTATTTAATCTTGGTGATATAAATTTTATTGTACAATATAGTTTGTGATCGATCATGGCATGTAACAAGATTTTTTTTTTCAGGTTGATATTGAGATTAATGGAGAACCGGTAGATATACATATGAAGTTGGGGGAGACCGGGGAAGCATTTTTTGTGGAAGAATTAGAAGATGGGGTGGAGATCAGCCCACTGCTTGGAACCTCCCCTCTACCACCCTCAGTTTTTCAAGAAAAACTCGAATTAGCCAAGGCTGAAGAAGAAGAATCAAAATTGCAAGATTCTGGGGTGGATGAATCTATTTCCTCTTCTTGTATGTTACCAAAGAGCAATGATACTTCAAATGAAACAATTGTTCCTGGAAATCAAGATTTGTCAGAATCTACCTTGCTGTCAGATACACTTGAGAGTGAAGAAGTTACCACTCCCCTGTCAGTTGATGATAAACCTAAGATTGGAAACAGTGAAATAGGAGTAATTCAGAGAGTGAGAAAGCAGAACAGGGGGGAACAAAGGGACTGCCAAACTCAAACTGAGAGTCCTACCATACTTGGTCCCGTGCTTAGGAAGGGCGATGGCTTGACAAAAGGATCTTCTACAAGGTCACTAAATACAGAGATATCAAGTTTCAAGCGCAATGCATTAGTAGAGGGTCAAGGAAGTAAAACAGATGGTGAAGAAACTGTCAAGGGTAAGTGCCTTTATTATTTCATAATTTAAGAGAAATACCTCTAGCTGTCAAATAATAGAAAATAATTAATTAAAAAGAATAATATTCATATTTTTAGAGAAGTAACTATTTATTTCAAGGAATGTCTTTATCTTAATCTATTGTCTACAGTGAGCAAGAGTAATCGTCGTAAACGTAAGAAGCGCTGCAATGGCAAGAAACAGCGACCAAAGAGTTCAGGGAGCCAGTCGAGTGATACTTCAACTACAAGTGAAGTAGCGGATCTTACAGCCGTCTTGCCTCGAGGGACTGTACCTCGAGTTACAAACCAGGAGGGCATTTTTGTAATGGATGATATAGAGTCAACTGATAAGGTGAGAAAATTGCTTACTTGTTCATTATTAGCCACTAATAAGTCCCGTAGTCAGTGGTGTTTGGGTTATGATTTATATATGATTTATGATTATGTTGATTTTTTATTTATTTTTATTTTTTCTCGGTTAAGTTTGGATAAAACCTTAAACTGACATTTAATTTCCTTTGGTAAGGCTTTATTTTTTATTTTATTTTGTGTTTTCGTTAAGTATGTCAGTAGTTTTAGGAATGAGCTATAAGCATTTACCAAAGGAATTACTCGTTCAGTTTAAGGCCTCTTCCTGAATTTCCATTTTCTTTTGGTCACACCAAAGTTTTTGTCCTCTAGTTGCTTGTACAGTACAGTATTTGAAAATCTATATAGCGCCATTATTTCAATTTTCTGTCAGTCTGGTCCAAGCTCGTCTTCTCCCACCACTAACATGGCGCAGTCCACTTCATTGCCGTTGCTGCGTGAAAAATCCCAGGATGAAGTAGTAGTCGAGTGGAGCGGGTCTCTCTCGCGATCAATGGGTCCAGATTTCCATCCCTTCAGTGACACGGACCTTAGTCCTCCCCCAAGGTCAGTGTGCTTAGCTAACCCTCTACTATGTTCAATTAATAAGTTATAAATGCTTCTAACTGTAGTCAATGTGAATAATTATTAATACTTTAGTTAGTACTGTATGTATATATAACTTTAAGACTACAGATCTCATAGGAGAGATTAACTCACTTTTGAAACTTGCTTAAACCCACACTACAGTACATAATTATACTGCACAGAACACAGATCTCATTTGGTTTAAATATGCTAGCAATATATTTATAGCTGAAAAACTTTCTTTAAATTTCACACTTTGGTTCTGCAGCCCTTCCAACTCAAGACCACCAACTCCAATCAAATCTGACACAGAGTATGAGGTAGAAAGACAACGAGAAGATTTTGCTGATTGTTCATCTCAGACAGATGAAAATAAGTGGTGCTGGATGTGGGGAGAATTGCCAACACCACCTCCTAAGACGCCAACACGGATAACCAACTCTAAGTCGGATTCTTCTGCTGGAAAGGTAGAAAATGATAAAATGGGCAAGACCATTAAAGATGAAGGTAATTCTTGTGTACATCATATGTATTTATGTGGTGCTTTATGGTAATCATATTAAGTTTATTTTATAAGGACTTACAATTTCTTCCAACTTGTTGGAGGATACATTATGGTGTTTCCTTGTTTATGTCCTCCATTAAATTTAATCATTTCTGATTAATAACAAGTGACCTATTGGGGATTTGTTAAGGTTAAAATAAATTGATGGTACAGTACTTTAGTTATTAGAAGTATCTTAGATTTGGGAGGCCTAATTGTTACTCACGGTTTGTCTCACATTATTAAGTTATTGAATATTTTTTTTGTGTGTGTCAAAGGCAGGTGTAAACATTGTCTTTAAGAGAAATTAGTTCTGTCAGTGAGCTGTAAGTTACTGTACAGTACAGTATACGTATATAATTAAGGTACCTTCCCTCCCCATCGTAATTTATTGGATCTCTGACACCTACTGTCTGCATTTGAAACAGGACATTGGTGCATATGGTATTACTCAAAGCTTCAGAATGACAGTTTCAGTATCTATAAGACCAAATAAACATTATTGAGGCACCATGTCTCTTAAGTTTAATTGGATCGTGATTGAAAGGGCGTCAAAATTTGCAAGCTGTTAAAGCAAGAGGATTTATTTAGTGGTATTCAGCCAGCTGCTGACTTGAATCTGCTCATCACCAAAATAATGTCATTTGCTTAAATAAATTTTTCTAATGTTATGAATTATGTAAAAGGAACTTTCCTGCTTTTCCTTTGTAGTTATATAAAACAAATTCGTTTTCTCAAAAATGGAAATCCTGCAAGCATCAGAAAACCTTGAAATAGTAGTTTATCAGTGTGGTTATCACTAAATATAAATTATTTTTATCGCATACATACAGCAGTTGTTAGTTTTGAAGTTAATTTAATAATGTGACAAGACCATAGCTACTTAGATTTTTTGCATTAATTGTTTACACGTGTGTAATGTGTATGTTTTTGTCCAGTCATTACAACTGTAGAAATTTATGTTTGGGAAGTAGCTATTTGCCTCTCCCTCTTTCTGATGTTCTTGTGTACAATGTTGTAGCATGTATGGGCTTGTTTCCTCTAGATGATGAGCGATCTGTGTTGAGCAGTATGTTTAGCTTCATGCGGGCCACTAAGAAGGCACGGCACAACCCAGAGAGTGAGGGCATTTACCTTGATGATCTCAACTTGGAAGAACTTGACCCTGAGGTGGCTGCCTTGTATTTTCCTCGTAACTTCAAAGTTCCAGAGAAGCGGGGCTACAACAGCTACTCCACTGGTATGGCTGTGAAGCATTAATAACCATTAGAAATCCACAACACTTCAAATACAAAACTACAGTAGAACAGTAAAACCTGATTTTGCAGATTCACATGTGTAGAATTTGGGTTTATGTGGAAAACTTGCCGAATAAAGGTACACTAGATAGAAAATTTGAAACTCGACTTAAATTAATGTCCCACCACTCACAGCAGCATACCTTGTTTGGTGAGTACTGGTACTACTTCTAACTCATACAGTAACACCACCATTATGACAGTACAGTACTACCCTTTAGTATTTTACTGTAAAAAAAAAAAAAAATTGCATACACTTGAATTTTACAGATGTGGAAAAGGATTTTCCTCGTGTGATCTGCATAAGTGATGTTTTACTGATAAAGTATTTGTGACGTTTTTAGTGTGGTGTAGCTAATGGTTGAATTCTTAACTAATTTTCCAAATTTTGTAAGGCTGAAACTGTATTTAAGAAAATATAATTAGTGGTTATTTGTACCATTATCACTTATATGTTATATTGCTTTATTTTATTGCTCTTCTGTAGATCCTTAGATATTAGCACTGAAGTATTGCTTTTATTTATTAGATATGGAATATTGTATTGAATAATCATCAAGGGGAGTTGAAGGACTAGTGTTGTGTGTTTACAGTACAGTATTGGGTTACCAGAGAGAGGAGTGGATATTGATGTTGCAACTGCAGTTAATTTAGCAACTGTTTCATTCACCATTAAAATATCTGCAAATTCTGCATACAATATTTTGAAATTGAAAAGAATAAGACTGATTTTGACTAATTATGATTTTGTTTAATTAAAGTGTAAGATGATACATTACTGTTGTGCTGAAAAGGGACTAAGGCATGGCATATGTGGTTATGTGCTGTATGTATAGATTAACTAGATTACTGTTGTAAATTAAAGTCTCACAATAGCATCTTGTACTACAGGTGCTCCCAAGGATGAGGATGCAGAGTCTGGTAATGGGCCTTCATTACCCCAGTCACCTCATAGTGTGGAAGGAGCCATTGGTGGCCCCAAGATATGCAGTGACTCAGACTTTGAAGACTCAAGGCATCCCATTTTTGATTATAAGTAAGTTCATTCTGGCTTGACTGAAGTTATATTTCACTAACATCTCACTGATTAGATACAGTTATTTATCTATACCGTAAAAAATACAGTACCCCGGTATTTAGATAATACAGTAATTTTTAATCGACTTTAGTAGAAATTTTCATGTTTATTGATTTGAGTTACATTCATAGAAACTAATTCACTTTTATTTTTAATTATTTTTTTTTATTTTTTAAACTTAGGGGCTACCATGATATCGCCTTCTCACTGTGTGGACGTCTTCATGAGTATGAGGGGAACTTTCCTGAGAGCCTCTTTCTACAGAGTCTTGTAACCTATGATGATTTTTGTGAGAATCCACAAATTCTAGACAATCCTGACCTAGTAGTGAGGTTTGGTGGAAAGTACCTCAACTGGAATGCGGCTTCTCCTCAGATCCTCTCCCTGGTCCTGTTCCAGCGATCAGTCCCACAGGTGTGTGTGTAGGGAATTCTTTTGAAGTGAAAAAATGTTTTGGCAAGAAATTGTGGCATTGATTTTCATAGGAATAAAATTCAGAAAATTATTATATTCATACTCAGTGAGAACACCCTTTAGAAATGGTGGTTTAGCATATCCACATACACTAATTATGCTGTTTCTTAAATAATATTGACCATTGTAGACATATGCACCCAGGGAAAGTTGAGAACAAAGTTTATTTTTTCCCCAGAAATTAGCAGATGAACTTGGCAAGGAACACATGCCCAAGAAGGAAACCAGAAAACGTTCAGAATCAAAGGGTTACTCTTGGTTTTCATCTTGGAGGCGTAATAACCAGACTGAAGACTTAGAAAACAACAAGGATGCCAAGAACGATTCTGAGAAAAACGTAACCTCTGACGGTACTATGGAGGTAAGAACACCTTGAGGCTTACAGAATGATTAGTACATATTGTGGAGTTATGGTGATGGTACAACTGAGGTTTCCTTTATACACTATAAATACTTTGATAGGATTTAAGACTAGTTAAGAAGTGATGAAAAGGCCTAAGGGTAGTACAGAAGAAGGATTATTTTAGTATACCTTAAATATTATATGATACAGTACAGTACTTAATTAAAGATTTGGTGATTATTTTTATAGTAACATTATGACCAAAGGAAATTAGTGTGTGTTTGTGAAGAATGTACTGTATCATTCTTCTAAGCTTTTTTGTTATGTTTACTGCTGAGTAGACAAAAATGAGCACATAGTTATTCCTTTGTTAGTTATCATTCATTGTTACTGGACTTGTGTAGTCTGTATGTTATTCAGCGGTCCTCCCTTCCACTGGTCTGATTGGGTGATTGGGGAAATAAAATGTTTCAAATACATACAGGTGTTGGTGAATGAGTCGGGAAGTGTGTGTAGTAGACAGTTGACTGTGAATATGAAGGAAAGTTAAGTGATGAAGATTAATAAATAAATAAATAAGTAAATAAGGGAGACTAAGAAGTAAATATTGGCTCAAGTGAAAATAAAATAGTGGAAGTAGAGAAGAATGTTTCTGATACAGTATCGAGAAGTGGATGTATTTACAGTTGTAATAATGAGACTTAGAGCACAGAGAAACAGAAATAAAAAAGAAATGTGATATATAGAATGAGAAATATAAGAGAGAGGTGGCAGAGATGGGTATGAACGGGAGTGGAGGAGTTGACATTATTATATAGGTGTAAAGCATAGACTTGGAATGCATAGAGGAAGGAGCATATTAGGAGCAACGTAAGTGACATGATTGAGAGCAACGTAGGCAGGGCAAATAGAAGGTAAAGAAAAATAAAATCAACAATAAGAGGTCAAAGCTACAGTCAGACACACCAGATTTGGGGCTTCTGGAAGAGAGATGCCATGACAGAACATGTCTTTTACATTAGTTATAATAAATGACTGAATGAAGGGGGAAGGTTTGTGTGTGTATTTACTCATAACCAGCTACCCACCATTATGAAGAAAGGCTTGAAAGAGTAACACACTCACACACATACAAATTTCAATGTCTGTTTGGTTAACTGCATGATGTTATTTGATAATATTGTGCAATAGATGTGATGATCAACAATTTGTTCTATAGCAGTAATTGTCCGTCAACCTGTGTTTCCTGTCATATACAACACGAATCATTGGGCATCCTGATATGCCTTCAACTCAAACTTGGTCATTTCCTACTAATTCCAGACTACCCAACTATGTATCCAGAATCTTCTTCTCCCAAGATTTTGCAATCTTGAGGTATTTGTATCATATTTCCATTTACATGTACTGTACATTACACATCTTCCCTGTCTCACTCCAAGTCTTTTTTGTTTTATTGAATTACAAGTTAAAAACATTTATGTATTATAATAAAATTGCTTTCTAATGGTAACATTATTTGACTTTAGAACTGCATGTATCCCTTATCTTGAGATCATTTTTTCATGGCATGTCTTATTGATTCTGTCCTTCATAGCTCCACCAAGGAACTCCAACCTCAGGATCAGAAGGAATCACCAATATCTCTGATTCCAACGTTATTGAAGTGACTGCAGCCGAGACACAAACCAGTTTACCCGGAACTCCTAGGAAGAAGGGAGTTCACAGTCACAAACCAGGAACAGATTCGTCAGAGTCCGAGGACCTAGAAGATGGAAAGGAGAGAAAATTCCACGGAGAACGTTTCAAGAAGAGTTTAAGGCTGTCCTCTGACCAGATTGTAAGTTTACCGAGTCATTACAGAGCAAACTATGAATAGTATTTTTGAACACACATGTGTGTAATCAAAAAGACAAAAGGAAGCAAGAATGAAATAATGTTGGAACTCTTGTTACTATTAGTACAGGGGTTAGGAGTGAGTGAGAGCAAGTGCATGTAGTGTACAGTACAGTATTGTACTCCTCCTTCCCTGCTGTAGATATACCTGTATAATAGTCCTTTTTAGAATGAGTGGAAAATCGTTTGTCACTGTAAGAATGAGTATACAGATAAGAATGTACTGTTATTTAATGGTACAGTATTTTTTTTTTTTGCTTTAAGATTACAGTATTGTCTTGAAAATTTAGGGTCAAGAAATGTTTTTAATTTTGAAAAGATTTTCCATGTTAAAGAAGACTTGGAGTTTTAAATTGTCATCTTGAAATTTCCCTACCAGACCCAACTAAACCTTCGGGAGGGTAGCAACGAGGCACTCTTCTCGGTAACAACAGCTTACCAAGGAACCACTCGCTGCAAGTGTCACATCTTCTTGTGGAATTTCAAGGATAAGATTGTTGTGTCAGATATTGATGGCACCATCACCAAGTCAGATGTGTTGGGTCATCTTTTACCAATCCTGGGTAAAGATTGGGCCCAAAGTGGTGTTGCTCAACTCTTCACAAAGATTAAGAACAATGGTTATCACTTCCTCTACCTCTCAGCCAGGGCTATAGGTGAGCATCTTTTTATCTGTACTTCCTCTCAGAGGTAAGATTTATTTTTGTCAGTCAAAATATATTAGGAAGACATTTTTCCCCTCTCATCTTGTGGTAAATCTGTGCATAAATGAAATTCTATATCTCCATAACTTTATTTTCAATATCCCGTGTATTTGTTTTCTGAAACAAAACTGATGCTGTCTTACTTTTTTGAAGTAAGTAGCAAATGCTTATCATCCACAGTAGTCATATGAGCCTGCAGATTGATAGGTACTGGTGGATGTTTTAAGCATAACTTTTGAATCTTGGACAGTGAAGTCTGGAGATAATGGTGACATATTTGAGGAATGTTTCTATGTCACTTGCTTTTAAAACAAAAGTGATGTAGATGATGTTAGACATACGTATAGTACTAATTGAACCCTTACAGTACTTGTATATTTAGTGTTTCAATACCTAACAAGCATTCATGCCTATGAAACCATCACTGCCTACCTCCAAGATCACCCCTCATGGTCACACAGTCCTGTTAACTGTGAATTTATTTAGGGTTAATACCAAATCATTTTCATTCATTAACAAATTGCCACTGTAGGCAGCATCTAGAAGTGTCCACCAGCATCTTGCCCTGTGTGATACTATGATGAGACATTTGCACAATTGCTTATTCTTATTTGTGTTCCATAGTTATATTTACTCAATAATATTATACCCACTTTATATCACGTAAAAAATGTGTTCCTTAATACATTTGTCACATTATAGGAGAATCAACTGTAGTGTAGTTTTGGGTTTTATCTTGAATATATTGAATTGTATTGTTGATTTTTGCAGGTCAAGCACGCATTACCCGTGATTATCTACGATCCATCAAACAGGGTGATCTCTCATTACCTGACGGTCCTCTTCTTTTGAACCCAACCTCATTAGTTCAAGCCTTCCACCGTGAAGTCATTGAGAAGAAGCCAGAAGAATTTAAGAAATCATGTTTGAGAGATATTCAGGCTCTTTATCCCTCAGATAAAAATCCATTTTATTCTGGATATGGAAACAAAATCAACGTAAGGAGAAAGTTTATTTTGCAATATTATCACTACAAAATCATATAACTGGGTTAGAAGTTAAGTTGTTTCATTCACTGTGTGAACAAAGTGTTGAGAAAAGTCTTATGTAATTGGAATTAACTTGTGTTTTGTTTTCATCTATTATTCATACATAAATTAGTGATAACTGACCCCTTACAGGATGTTTGGGCATATCGAGCTGTAGGGATTCCAATTTCTCGAATCTTCACGATTAATCATCGAGGTGAACTGAAGCACGAGCTCACACAGACATTCCAGTCCTCGTAAGTATTGCAACATGATTTTTTGTTTTAGATTATAGCATATTTCCTCTTGGATACTCTATTATTCTTAAAGAAACTCTAGTAAATATCTTTAATAAATTATGAGTTGGTCAGTACGAGTCACTCTTAAAGAAAAAGACATATCGGAAGAGTAACTCCGCCAGAAATAAGAAAGAGTGTCGTCCCAGAAGAAAGTAATATGTAAATATATGTATTGTTTGTGTACTGTACTGTGTAGTATATCAACACTCTAAGAATTGTATTTGTATCATATTTTTGTTAATACAAATTGGTTCATATTTAATAGTGAATGTTTCTCATATTCATGGTAATTATAGTGCTGCTGTTGTGGTGTTCAGTGAAGATATCTCACCTCCTTTTACCTCTTTATATATATAGGTATAATGGTTGTCTTCTATATTTAAATCTATGCACTTTTGACTTCTATTGAATTTTTGTTGATCATGACATTGGAGTGGTTTTATTTTGTTAGCATATTTTTGTCTGGAATTTCCTCTTCTGGAGTTTCAAACCATCATTATATTGCGGGTGGTGTTAGGTCTTCATGTTAGGTGAAGGTTTTAGTTCTATACAGGATATGGGTTAGTGTACTTTGTAGGCCTAACTTTCTGATTTATTCTATGCCAATGCAAGAAATAGCTCGTAAGTGATATTGACAGATTTATAAGAATAAAGAGAAAGCTTTATAATTATTATTGAGGAGGCCTTGTAAATACTACTGTTTCAAGTTTGTTGTTGTGTAACTCCAATTAAGATTATTCTTTGGTAAAACAAAACAAAAACAGAGTTGTACCTTTCCTCTTTGCCACTTTTTATTAAGATTCAGTGTTGATGGGAATGAGATTCAAAGAAGTTAGAAAAAGATGATAAAAGAATTATTAATTGGGGAAAAAGAATGTCTGAAAGATTTAAAGAATGATTGAGATCAATGTGTTTTGTGTAAGTGAGGGTGAAGTCAGTGGAATAGAGGAGAAATGGGAGCATTGTGAAGAAAATCTGTCCTAAAATTTCTAACACTGCATTTGTGGGCACATGAAAATGATGATAAGAAATAAGAAAAGGGGGCATTGGATGAGTTGCTGGAACTGTTAATTAAGAAGTAGAGAAGTGTATGTGAGTGCCATTTGCAGGAAGCTGAGGGGTCATGGGACTAGTTATAGGTGGAATATGAAAGTGAAAGAGGAGATTTGTTTTAAACTAAAGAGGTGGTGTTTGGAGGGGGGGAGGTGTTGAAGAGCTGGTGGGAGAGAGAAGCAGAGCCGTTCTGTAGGTTACCAGTCAGGATATGGTGAGGGAATGGTGCTGCTGCGGGTGGGGATGTTGAGGGTTGCCGTTTATGCATAGCAGGGAGGGGTACTGAGAAAACGGCAGAAAGCGTGTATAATTCCCCCGTGTGGAACAGGGCTGAGGAAAAACGTGTAGGGATTATAGGAGAAGGGGTCTGTTTAGTCTGTAAAGAAAGGTATTTGGCAAAATCATTCCTAAGAACACAGTTGTAAAAGGAAATGGTGCTCTGGGGAAGATTAATATGGATTCAGGATAGAGGTATTTGTGGGTAAAGTACAGTACAGTATTTGCATTGAGGAACATGAATGAAAAGTTTTTGGAAAAGCAAATGAATTGTTTGTGATAGTCATGGATCTTATCATTATCACTTTTACGGCCATTTTCCACACTTGCATAAGTTAGGCTTGATTACTTGATGGTAGTCTCACTCATCATGGGCTTATATCTTAGGTCATTTCTCACAACATCTCTCTTCCACATTTTAATCTCATGCATCTCTTGACCCTATTGGTCTCCTTCATTCTCTCCATATGCCTGAGCATCTTAAACTATCTCTTTGCTAAACCTCCAATACTCTCAATATCCAGCCACTCTATTATTTCTGAACAATGATTCCTATCTTTCAACATCACTCATTCACCTCACCAGTCTCATTTCAGCTCTCAAGCATATGCATGTCATCCTCTTTAACTGTCTGCTTCACTGCCATACAGCAACACACAGTACTTCTCACACTGGATACCTACAACTTTCCTTTCAAATGATGAGTCCTCCTGTTACTTATAAGGCCACAGCTAGAGCTTCAGCACCACCTTCAGCCCTAATCAGGTCACCCAGTGGTGAAACTCAGCTTGATCCATGGATCCATGGCTACAGTATATCCCATGTCAAGCTTTTCCAGCCTTGCTAATGCCACACGCTTACCTATACAGTACATACAATATACTGAAAGGCAGCAACATCCTACAGTCTGGTATTTACACTACTGGAAGTCTTGTATGCTCACCTTCAACATTTACTGTCCATCATCAAATTACTGCCAATGCTCTTACAGACAACATATGGTCATTTTTCACTTTCCATCACAGGTTCTTCATCCACAACACATTCTCTGAGGTCCTTTTACTTCATTCCTTCCTTCCATTTCTTCAACTTCACCACCACTATCTCTAGAATGCTATCAACACTTATAGTTATCATCATAGAACTACTCCCAGGGCAAACCAGTCCTGAAGTTTTTGATAGTGTCACTAATGCCAGAAGGGGGATCTAGACACCTTTAATGGATCCTTTCTCGAACCTTAAATTCCTCTTTCCTTGTCATTTACTCTCTCAGTTCTTGAGCCTTCAGAATATGCCTTAACTACTTGTACAAGATACTCCTTGACATCTAACTATTTTGCCCACTGCATTACCTTGTGGCACCCTGTTGAGTGCCTTCTTTAAATCTACATATACAAGGTAGTTACTGTACAGCTTTCTCTCCTTCCCTAATACTGTACTTTATCTCTTTTAGTTGCCTGGCCAGAGGTATTTCTTTTAACTCTTTCTATCTGGTATTTCAGTAGATAATGTCCACTCTCTCACTTATCAATTTCTCAATCATTTACCGCAACTTTGATAACCTGATCTAACAGCTCCAAGCCCCTGAAATTTCCACGATCAAGTGCATCACCTTGTCCCTTGTGAGTATTAAAAATAGTGTAAAGCTCTTCATTGAACGTAATTGCATTAATCATTTCAGTCGCCAACATTATGCATTGGTGTAAAAGCAGTGTGGGAGATATTGAAATTTTTTGAGGTGAATGAGAAATTATTAAATGGCACCAAAGAGTTTTTTTTAATAAGAGAAACAGTGATACACATCAATATGCCAGGAAGAGTGAAATTGGCTTCAGTGAAAATAGGTCTGTGTTGAGGATCTGAAATTTTACCATGGTTATTGAATATTTTCATGATTAGTAAGAAAGGAAGAAGCAAAAGTACTGTACTGAAAAGAGCTAACAGTTTGGCAAATAAGAATACAATGGGAGGTGAATCGGCTGCTGTTTGTAGATGATAGTGTCCTTGTGAGTGATTTAGATAAGTGGTGAATGACTAGGAATGTATGATCCAGTGTGAACAAAAATTGATATAGCCTTAATTGATATAACTGTATCTTTGTGGCTTCTATTGGTTCTGGTTCTCTGAAATATTGATTACAGAGTGAGATATTCATATTCTGACCTCACATCTGTTATCTGGCTATAAGAGTTGCATGAAAACACAACCATGTATTATCAGGTTGACTAGTTTTGTGGGTGATCAATAGTGAGCTTGTGAACAAATTCGGAAAGAAAATATAGATTCACTTCTTTCAGGATATGGGTAATATCTGGCTGATTTGATTACCAGAATTTAAGGTTACTGAACAGTCCATATTTGTATATTAAGTATATGTTTAACACCTGTAAATAAGGAGGAAAAAACATGTTACTTTGTTATCTAAATGTGAAAAAAGTAGTCTGTTTAAAATTGAAAGGAAATGTTGTCAAGGATTCAAAGTTATTGTATTCTCAAGCTTGATCTTTCTGAAAGGGCCGGCACAATTCCTTGACTAGTTACTCTGATGAACAACTGAGGTTTCTTTGCATGTACCGTACTTCTGTGATTTTTTCCCTGTTAATTTTAGTACAAAACTAAGAATGTTATGAATATATTGTTTCATGTAGGTAACTTGCATGATGTTTTAATGTATACAATATATGTTTAATATTGTTTTCTTCTCTGATATGATATATATTTTTTATTTCTTACTTTATTTATTTATTTTAAAGGAGGCAGTGCAATATACAGTACATTAAATGCTTTAGTCCAATTTGCTTTTCTTCCATATTTGTCAGTAAAGCAGCATGCAATTGTGATACTGTAGCACTTTTCTTGTACTGTATTGGTGTTGTTAACTTCTTGCCGTTTGTTTTTGCAGTTACATTCGACAAAGCACAGTAGTTGATGAAACTTTCCCACCTATTGAAAAGGCAATGGTCCCTCAAAATATTGATTTGGTATACAGTGATAGTGACTATGAATATAACGGCAGCAGTGACGATGTTTCCACTGATAGTGTGGACAGTGACTGGTAGGGTCATCCACCAGATTAGTCACTGCCACTTGACTCATTCAAAGAGAAAATTAGAGAATGTGAAAATTATTTGAATGTCATGTATATACCTCAGAGTGTGCAGTATACTTGATGAAGCTTTTATATGGTTACAATTGGGACCTAATGGTGATGGGAGATGAATTCCAGAATCCGACCTTGCTTGAGGTTAATGAAGTCCAAGTTATGGGTCTGCATCTGTGTAGACTTTGATCAATAGGGTAAGCAACTGATGTGTGGTGCAATCCATTACTCAGGCAGTATATATATATACTTGAGGAGCTTGCTTACATTGCATCCTAATATAATTTGTACAAGATTATTACCCTGAGCTCTACATATTCCTTCATACTTACAGTCTGCTAACTTATTTGAAGGCATATCTATGTATGAAGGTTGTTCAGTAAGTAATAAGAGAGGTTGTATAGAATAAAACAAAGACAAATGAATTCAGATTCTCAAAAGTACTCCCTGGCCTTTGAGAGGAACCATTATTTAATAGCACTGTATTTTGAGTAGCAGACCCTACCCACCAGGGTGTAGTATATGTCAACTCAATACTGTAGCCTAGACATTATTTTTTAAGGGGGGGTGAAAGTGCGAGAACCGAGTCAGTTTATTCCTGGGGATAGGCCATCATCTCAAGTGTTAAATTCATCAATAGTTTCATTGCAAACATGACTTGATAGATAGGGGAAGGGTACTGTATATAGTCTTGGTGAAGGATTCATCCATTGTTGATGAACTTGGAGGGTTTATCTTCAAGTTTTCTCTGCAGCTAGTATGTTTTCTCATGGCCATTGTAATTGAATAGTCTATTCTTTAGGTATGCATCCCTGTCCTCCTTTTTACCCCAATAAAGACGAGATGAAACACTTTACCAGTGCTGTAAATTAGTTGCATTTTGGTGGTAGGGATTCTTCAAGTGCATTCTGTTTTGTACCACCCAAATGTTCTTACTTGAGACATATTTCCATTTTGATCTGTTTGTTGGATCATATCATGATTTTCTGTTGTGGTTTACTAAGCTACAGTACCAGAAAAATTTAATGGCCATCCTTTGTTCAGTTTGCAAATCTATGATGGGTAGCCAATACCACTTACAGCAAATGTGATGTTGAAACAATCACATAATTCACTGATTTGTCCATTCAAGCTTGAAATGCTGAGCCTAAAATTATGGTCTCATTACTTATTGAACAACCTTCAAACTAATTGGTCTCACTGCTGGTTATTTGATACTTACTTATGCTCTATAACCAGCAAGTTGGTTTAACTGACTTTCTCAGCATTTTCTTAGTCATATGTTCATTACTTGAACTTCATGGCTCATAAATGAAAGCTAGGATAACAGCTGGATGTTGATCAAGGTGTATAATGTTGGACAAGTGTGAAAAGTGAGTCATTACTTCAGATGCTGAGATTTTTATTGCATAAGCTTAAAAGGGTAACTGTGTGACCAATCTGTAAACCCTCTCCTATATTAATGTTGACTAATTAAACACTCTTACTTGCCCTAAGCATGAACTGTTAAGGTGTAAGGCTGTGGGAGGTACAGTATTAATCTCTTGCCCAGAGCATGAATTCTTAAGGTGTGAGACTGGGGAGGTATTAAACTAATTCACTAAATGCCAATACATTTTGTTATGTGAGTGCATGTGCATCTTGAATAGTACAGTACTCTACTGTACTGTAACTGTTGGTTAACAAATTATTCTTTTATATCCCCAGAAAATTCAAAAAGTATTTTAAGGTCTAAAGAATGGTGAAATATTTTAATTTCAGATGGATTAATCTGGTCGAGATTTGCCCTCTCTGTCTGTTACTTTGTTACTTTGACATTTACCAACTTTCAATTTTCAAATCACCCTGTTGGATCACCTTGAAGTTATGTGTGTCATAGGCTGATACCGGGTATTAACAAAGTATGGGACATATTTTATTTTTTTGAGCTCAAGGGAAATATTTGCTCTATAAAAAGAAAATCCTTGATATCCAGATGAGTATGTGGTTGCTTCCATTGCTTTTGTTTATCAGAGAGTATTATTCAGAATAACATAGGCCAGTGTTTTTTATATTTTTTCCAATATGGAACTTGTAAGCTTTTAGAAGTAATATATATACAGTATATATATATATATATATATATCAGACTGTTAGTGTGGATGAATCACATTTCTGTTTTTTTAGGTTTAATTACACCTAATTCTCAATTTAATTTTATTGTTTATTTATTATTGTTCTATATGGAAAAATTATTTGCTTTTAGATATTTGTGATCTTTAGTACCGGTAGTTGAAGCTTAATGTTTAGCAGAGCACTCATAATTAAAATGGGAATAGGGATCTTTGATGTACTGGTAGATGGAAATAAATTAATTCTTAAGTGGATAAGAAATTGCAGTTATGAATATACTGCTGGGACATAACAAAAAGTGATTGATAATCAGACTCCATGGTGTGTACGTGTGTTACTCAGCTACCATGAATAATAGAATACTAGTCTGCTCATCTTCTAATTGATCCAGACAAAATAATTCACTCCTAAAAATTCTGGACAAAAAATTATATCCCAAAGACTTTAGACAAAGAGTTTGGTTATAATTAGGTTTTTTCCTTATAATTCATATTGAAAAAGAACCACCTCATGAAATGTTCCCCATATGTCATAGTTGTTGATGCAAAGTTGACAAACTTAGCTAATGTATTCAACAACAACCACTGATCATTCCTGGAGATATCTCTCGAGAAATAATGTTGTAGGAGTGTCTGTTTTAGACATATAGTGAGTAGAAAGATGCCTTGTGTAAGGGGCAGCATTGCAGTTTGGACACACTTTCCAACCAGAAAGTAAGTTTGTCAACCAATTTTTTGTAATTATTACATATGGTTGTGTTCCTTAAACATGTCAGTGTGGATATATCTCCTGCTTAAGTGTTTAAGTTTTACTACAGAGGGAAAGGATGTTAGTGAGTGTATATTTATACTCTTTTTCCCATCCTTTGTTGATGGTGTCATTATCTCGGTTTCATAAGAAAAAATGACCCCTATCCTCCACCAGTTCAGGAGGTTCCCTGTTGGTGTCATGACCTCAATATGAAAAGAGCCATTATTTGCTCTCCTCCCCCTGACCATCTGCTGATATCAAACAGCATGGATCACTGCTCTTTTTACAAAGCAAACTGTAAGAAGTAAAAATACACTGTCTGGCATATGTTTACGTCCTGCACCAACACAAGAATGTAAGATTCTTCATTACTTTTAAGTTGATATAATAGAGTGAATTTTTTGATTGATGAAAATACTGTAATAGCTGGTTTGCAGTTTTGTAGAAGTGAAAGGTTTCCTTATTTAGTCATTTGCAAGGCGAAACTTTTAATAGATGCCAGGGATTTTACCAACAAACTGCTTTGTACTTGGATTGTTTTATGTACATTTGGTTGTTTTGTAAATGTTTCAAACACATATCCAAAGGTAATCATAATTCACAGTGCAGTGCAGTACACTACAGTACAGTATAACAATAACCTAACCCAGTTTAAAAATACACTACTAATAAGTTATAGTAAGTACGTAGATAGATTTTTATTTTTATTTTTGTGTACAAAAATGACCCACAACTTGTGTACAAAGTGATTGTGATTCCCATATATGAATCTACCTGTTTGCAAAATGATCAGCACCTGAGTGGTTTATTCATTCCATTTTATAATGGGGAATGTCATCTAAGCAGCCTTGATGGCAGTTGTCAGTTTCTGTAGGAGTAATTATTGACAGTATTAGATAAAGGAAAAACAATGAAATTTATATAAGAGATTTATCATTCCTTACAGGGTTTTTAGATTTAAAATTCCAACTTATCATTTCGTACTTTATGGTTGAAAAATTATTACAGTATAATTATTATTTTGTATAAATGAGGCTTGAGATACAGATAAGTGTCCTCATTAACTGCAGACGTTGTAGGGGAAAATAAAGAGAGAGAGGAATAGTGATATATTTTCTATATATACCGTATACATGTATACTGTATATGTATACAGTATATATATAGAGTATACACGGTAGAAGATGACTTGGTTTTTGAAGATGAACATGATGTGGTTGATTAGGAAAACTGGAGTAAGTTGACAGGTTTAGCAGTAGAGGAAAGAACCAAACATAACAACACCTTCAGTTTACCAACCGCTTCACAGTTATTGTGAGACAAAGCAGCTTCTCGAGCTGTACTGTACGTGTTGCCTACACAATGGCATGTTCATACAAGCATATTTGGTGTTTGATTTGAAATATTGTTAAGTGCATCCAGTATAAGCAATTCCCATTTAAGTAATAAAATGAAAATAAACCAGCCTGGCCTTCAAGAATATCAGTACAGTACTTTAATTGACTGTCCAAACCTCGGAGAGTAAAATGCTTAAGTTTACTGTAAACCCAATTCCAATTCTAGAATAGCAAATTGACCTTGGTACCCGTGATGTCTCAAAGTATAATTTACATCATGGGTATAGAGAAAGTAGTAAGTACAGTACTGTATGTAGTTTGATAATTTTGGTAATGAAAAATCATCCAGTGCTGATCTTGAGCAGTGTGATATACTGTACTGTACAGGATTTGTGTATTTTTGAGGAGTTGAATCAATGTGCATATAAATAATTTAAGAAAAGATATTTAATATAACAAAAGAAGAATAGATATTGCTAAAGAGCAGAATGTGATATACGTACTGTATTATATTGATATAAAAGTTTTTATGGAGAATCTTTTGTCACTGGAACTGCCCTAAAATTTTTATAACCTCTTCTCTTTTGACAGATACTCCAACCTAAGTGACATTTCCAACCACATGTTCCCCCCAGTGGCTCACCAGGAGACTCTGGGAGAGTACTCCTCTCTCCAGTATTGGCGGCCCCGTATGCCAGATGTATCTGATGAAATAGAAGCTGTCCTTGCCCAAGAAAGAGGAAAATAACTTCCTTCAAGCTGTAGCTGAATATTTTTAAATAATTGTTGGTAAGAATTTGTTTGTGTTGCCACTGCCAAAAACTTAATGAACCAGATTTCTGGTTTTTGGATGGTTAATCTTTATAACCTTTTTGGTTGTACAAAATGAGGCAGCTGTGTCCTATGGACTTTTTATTTTTTTATTTTTATTTTTTTTCTCTCATTATTGTTTCCTATAAATAACATATTTTTTATTGCAGTAGTTATAAAACATACTTGGTGTCATTAATATTCTTATACAGTAGAGCTTTATCTTTTTTCTGTAGACAAAACAGGTTACGGGCCTTAGAAGACGGAGTTGCTTGCTTCAAACATTCCAAAGAAATGGAGCCTGTTTATCCCTGAAGAAAAAATTCATCTTAAGAGAAGACAATGGACTTGGTTGTATTTGCTGATTACTCAACAATAGCTAGAATTGATTCTTTTTTATAATGTACACTAAAACATTTGTTTTAATGAATGTAGTACAGTATGCATTATCATTTCTCAAAAAATTAAGATTTGTGCAGGAGGAATTACAATTGACATCAGTGCATTTTACAAAGTAAATGAATGTTATTGTAATTAAATTTGATTCAAATAATGGCACTTTCCTATTTCATGGAGCTACTCACCTCAGGGACTGATGTTAAGTTAATGTGACCTGAAATGTGTTTTGAATAATAGTCATTATTCTATTAAGGTACAGTACTGTAATCTGAGAAGAAATGTGAGTATGAGCCAGATTGAACATTGTTTAGCCAGAATGGTAAATGATGGGTATAGTAAATGGTAGGAATTTTAAGAAAAACCCATTCAAACTTGTTTGACTGCCATTCTTTACACATTTTTTTTTAAGGAATTGTGAAATCAGTGTGACTCAAATAAGCAGATGAAGTGCTGAATATACAAGGCATAAAGCCTTCATCTAGGTAAAACTTAAGTATTACTGAAAGGAGATCCATCTCATCATTTGGCCCATTGTGTTAATCGCTTGTGATGGCATGGGTAATGAATAATATGACTTCTCCATAAAAAAACAAATAGCAGCATTAACACACAGGCTGTCAGAAATAGTAAGATTGAAGTAAAAGGAAATTGTCAGCCCACAGTTTGGATAAGACATCAATTGTCTAACTTTGAAGTACAGTACTTGTACAGTACTGTATGTATTTCACTTTTTCAAGTTGTGGCAGCACAATATTCCTCTCAATAAACTACCTTACTGTTCAAATAAATAACAATTATTTGTTATTCAGATTGGAAATAAGAAGTGATTTGCTGTTAGCTGAAAAAAGGAGCAATCATTTGTATGGTAAGGTATATCATTTCCATTCAAAATGAGTTTCATCTTGGGTACAGTCCTAGAAATCAGTATTTGTTAAGTTATTTTCAATAAATTAAGGTTAAGTTTAGAATTCTGCATATCATTTCAGTGTATGTAGTTCAGGGAATTATCATTATATATTTATTTTTTGTACAGTTATATGTTATGTCATCTGTATCAATAATACATTTCATTTCACCCATAGTTTGAAGTTTTAAGTTTCAAACATTCATGGCCTCTATCTGTGATGTTCTTTTTCATTTATGTGTAACAATTTACCTGTGTATTGTTTGGTTTTAATATCTTAAATTTATGAACTTCCTTATAGCAACCTAACTCCATTCCCATCTATATGGAGTGCTGCAGGTTCTTTTACATTCATTCAATTTAAAGAAAACCATATTTAAGAATATGTTTGTTATTGCTAAGAGCCCATTCGTAAGAATTTGACATTGATTATACTGTATAAACATCATCTGTGATTTATATGCAGTCAGAGACGTCTAAGTCGTTCCTGGAAAGTTGTAGTTGGTCGTGTGTGATAGGATCCTTGTAGTGCAGTCAACTGTGGTCTGTTGAACACACCCACCAAGGTGCTGTAGCTAACTTGACCTGTTACTTGGCACTAAGTCCTGTTGGTGAATGTTTATGAGGCCAGTCACCATTTCTTACAAGTTAAAGATTTTTGTCATTATCTCTGTTTACATGGATGTTTCAACAAGAGTTTGGTGGCATTTCTTTGAAACCAGTGTTTTTCAATACTGAAGATGTATTCTGAATAATTGGTCTTCTTAAAACTACCTTGTTCAATGATATGGAATTTATGGCACTAATTTAGAAGTGTTGAATGAATCCATTAATATATAGATGTGTTCTGTGTGAGTTGTCTTTTGGCAGTTAAGAAGTTAAGGACCCTCATTAAAAGTGTAACATTACAAAAGGATTTATTGGGTTACATTCAGTTATTCTGTTTTCCTGTAGAATTTAAATACCGGTATTAGTACATTTTTAATAATTCTAAAAATGTTTAATGTGATGAATATTGAATAACATTGAACTTTTTGGCAAGATGAAGGAAGAAAATGGAAGTTCTGTAATGAGATGCATATTTAGCTTAAGCCATAATAATAGATTTGTTGATTCCTCAAAAGAGTAACTTTTATGCCAGCAAATATATTTAAAGAACTAAACTTTGCCAGAAATAGTCTCCATGTTATGTGATAATTTATAGTGAGCTTATTATTATTATTATTTTTTTTAATTTCATATTGACCAACAACTTCTGCATTAAACTGTATTGAAAATTTCATGTTCTTTAAGGGGTATGAAATATGTGATTTATAACGTAAAATAGAGCAATGTGTGCTATTACCTGAACCATAGACCAACGTAACCAGTGATATCTTGGATTCTTTTCAATGTGGAATTTTTTGTTGCATATGTTTTTGTGTGCGTCTTTTGTACAAAACTTTTTGCTTGTATCAGGCATTTTTAGGTTAATTTTTGCTAGGTAATATTTAATTTCTTGAGTTGATGAATCGTTCTCTCGATTTCAACTGTGGAAGCACAGAAAATGTATATTTTTTCCTGTATTAGCAATACCTTTTATGTGGTTCTTGGAAATAACAGAACCATGTAGGCTAATTGCCATTTTCCAAAACAATTGTAAAACAAGAGGAACATTGTTACATTTCATGTTAGTTTTCATATATGTGTATGTTATGAATGGCATTTATACTCATGAAGCTGTACAGTGTAACTAATGTCTTGTCCCTCCACTTTGTTTAATACTGTACCAGAATAATTAGACCACCTTTTTGTTTCCAGTCTTAGTCTCATAAATTATGTTAGGAAGCTAATACTCAAAGGGTTGAAAGATCATATGTGTCATTAGTGAGTTTTTCGTCTTTTCATATTTCGATATATCCTTGTTTGATGATGTGCATAGACTGGTCATCCCACTCATGTGTTCTGTGTAGCATTCCTTTTACCACACTACCAAAAGTTTAGAAGTATTATGCTTTACTTGTGCTTAGTGATGATGAAAGTCATGTAAGTAGGTTTGCAGGCTTGAGCTGTCTCATAACATCAAAAGATAGACATTTGGGTGTTGCAAAGGATTTAAGATACTTGTATATTGGCACTCGTAAATGCAAAAGAAAATGAAGAACTAGATGAGTAAACAGCTTTTAATTTATTTGTGAGATAATAAGTCATCTTTGATTTAGATGCTCTTGAGCAATGTAAGGTTTTCTTGTGACTTACTGTTCAACATAGTCATAGCATCTTCAATAAAACTGCTGTTATTATAATTATATTTTTGTTGAAATTAGTGACTCGTGCCATTGTGTATTTGTATTAAATTTGTAAGTGGCATTTGAGAAGTGAACACGCACCTCTGTAGAGCGAGATCCTCATATTACTATTGGTAGTCATACCTTTGGCTCCATTCACTGCATTTTCCTCTACACTACTTAGCATTGCTATTACTTGCATTTCAGTACTTTAAATCCTCAAATGTTCACGCTTCTTTAAAAAAGTTCATGTAGTGACTGCCTTGAAGATTTAGCCCTAGGGCCTTTATTCTTCGTGCTTGTTTTATTTGCCATCTTGTGATAATGCGCTCACTGGAATAAATTATAAAAGTTGAAAAGTTATTTAATTTTACAATTCATATATTACCTGTACTGTTCTGTATACCTCCACTGCTCAAAATATTGAAGTATTATTTTTTTTTAAACAAACACCAAAAGAAATAATGCTTCTACTAACAAATATAGCTCTTAACTCCAAAAGTACTTGGGCTAGCAACATTCCCAATAATCAAGCAAAGACCCTTTTCTAATATAGTTTCACAACCGAGATCAAACTTAGGTCAGTATGTAAATTCATTAAGGAGAAATAAAATTCATCACAAATAGAGAGAAAGGCAGCATTGCTCTTACATATACTGCTGAGTATTCCTTGTCATGGAGAACTTTGACTAAGGTGACATCGTCTGGAGTAATGAAACCACATCAAATGACCTTAATAAACCTGCTCTTTTTATAGAAACTCAGAGAAAATTTTCTATTCCATGTTTAAGATCTGATATACTACAAAGGGGAACAGACATCCAAACCGACGGACCTCATCATAGTTAACGAGGAGAATATAGTGGCCAAGTTGGAACATGCCGCTGTTGATACCAGTCCTTGTGTGACACTATTCTTCAGCTTTAACTGTAACTCGGTTCATGATAAAAGCAGGCCGCCAAGGTTGAAATATTGCAAGAGCAATTATGATATGAGGAGGGAGATGAGGGATATTCACTAACCTGATTCACTGAGATACAAAATGCATATACTACAACTGAATATCATAGCTTGTAAAGTGAACCATTTAATTGATAAATATATACCCAAGATCAAATTCATTGGCCCCAGGAGTGAAAACAGGCCAATATGTGCAAAGATTTTTTTGTTGTGCAGACAGGCCTATATGGCTTACTGCAGTTATCGTATTTTCTTATGTTTTTAAATTGACACATTTCAAAGTATAAACCGTCATAAAATATTACAATTAAGCTTCTAGCTAGAGTAGACAATGCTTATTACATGTGTTCATATGATATAATGCACTACATAATATTTACACAAAATTATTATAATTACAAAATCAAGGCTCCTACTACACCAAATTTAGCAGGAAATTTGGTGGATTTTTAGAACAGGTTTAGCAGGGTTTTGGGTAGTTTTCTGCTAGAATTCAGCGGGTTGGCAAAATTTGACCTGAGGTTGATAGCACTGCAAGTTGTCAGTGTCGCGCAAATATTTGTGTACAAACGGAGGTGGCAGAGTTCATCTTAATAAATGGAAAATTAACACGTTATTAGTGATTGGAAAATGGCTGGTGCAGGTATGTGTGTTTATTATAATACAAGTAACTCATATTATACAGTTTAATAATGCAAGGAGTTTTTTTTTATGGGTATTTTGGTCTCTTATGTGAGGGACAAATATTCAGGAAACGGCCGCCCAAGTGACTCGATCGGTGGCGAAGAGAATAAATGTAAACAAAAAAAAGTCGGTTATTTAAACTGGATTAGTATCTATTCGCTCTCATTCTTCTGAAATGTTAAATCATAAATCTGCATTAGATTTATTTTAATTATTCATTCAAAACTACTCATGAATTAATAAAAGGGCTGAAGAAAAAAAGTCATCTTTATTGTTACCAACAACAAACAAATCGTAGACAGACGGCATATTCAAAATTAGTTTTCAAAGGCCATTCAAACAATATCATTATACAAAAGTAATGTAAACATGCAGGTCGGAGAGCACTCTGAAACACATACAATTTCATACAAGAACAAGCAGGTTGTACTATCGTGGACAATAGTTCGCTCCTTCCCAACCTGAAGCAGTCGACCCGCACAGCACACCCGCACCAGATAACAACCAGTTGGGAGACTCGTAAGGCTTCTGTACGTTCATCATGGGTAACAACTTTGCTGTGTGTAACCTCTGGTGAGACAAGAAGGCACCTCAGTGTATAAGCCTCCACTCGCAGTATGACACTTGTCAATTGGTAAACATAGCAGACGACATGTTTGCGATAGCGCCCCATTTAGTGTTTGACTAATCAACTAAATTAAATGCCAAATATCTTTTGAGACAACGCGGTCAATTGTGGGGATGGTGCTTCCTAAATAGATATTCTTTGAGCAGGACTGAGGGAGTAACTAGTGACTTTAGTGAGGGAGAAGCCATATAGTTTTTCAATGCCGTCTTGTTGCGTCGTGTTCAGTATCGTATCACAAGTTATCTGTGCTTGTGGAGGTTGAAGATTGTCTCCAAGAGTTCATCTGTCAACACTGACTCTTTGGCAGGACGTGCAAGCGTTTAAAATGGGGCAGAAAATTGACAGTGAAGAAGAAATATGTTTCAGTGCAACAACCGTGAAACGTAAAATTAAGCAATGCCGCTTCAAGAAAATTGCATTCATTGCTACCAGATATCAAGGTAAATTCTTTATGCTTATATCCCGGGAGTTAGGTAAGGTTAGCAAAGATTGATTAGGTCAGGTTTAGGGTTTGTGCATTGTCGTTTCCATATTCGTGTTTAGTATTATAGGTATGCAATTACGTTATACCCAAAATTTTGGTTCAATTCCATTTTTTTCTTTTACTGCTAACTGTGTTCTCCACACTTACCGAATGATTTATAACATAAACATTTATTTTCTAATTCATACCTTTATTGCACTATGTAGTCGTCCATGGTGTGGGCCTTCCCATGACGTCATTTATTTTTCATACATGATTGGCAGTGGATATTTTACTGAGTGCGCTCTGCTGATCGGTTAGTCGTCCGTCACCGACGAACAACGTAAGATTGATATGCGACTGACTGGCGGCATTTGGCATTTATTTTTTAGTCAGAAATTTATGTATGAAAAATGGTTTTAAGGTCACATTGTTTTTTCATGGATCATTTCTTAATATTTAAGAGAGTGAGGGGGACATATCCCTACGGAAATTACATCTATGGGTGCAACACACATGCAATTCTTGGATTGGCACAAGATTAATTTTACACTGAAGCTGGAGGAGAGGTATGGATGCATATTACTGAAAGATCTTCATTGCATCGTAGCATTTCTGTAACAGTTTGGGCCATTTTAAAGGGAAATGCGAGAACAAAAATAATTACCGAACAAAATATGGACATGACAGTTTAACTGACGCGGAAGAAAACATCCGGCGAAAAGAACTGTGGCAGCAAAATATTTCATTACCTTAACCTGTCGTCCGGTAGTTGACACACTTGGTAATTTGCGGTCGAGAGTTGGAATGAGCGTGACTATGACGGGGAGGTGTAGAACTGTGGGTGGGTGTTGTTAGTTGTTACTGGCTCAGTCGGTGCACCGTTGCAGCTTGGTGAACAACGCGCACTGGCTAATGGCTTACCGGCGAGTTCACTCTTTCTTACCACCATTATACTCCCTATGATTCCTAATAATATTAAGATTATAAATACAGTATATGAAAACAAACTGGTGATGTGTAATAGGAAAGGACAGACGAGAAGAATACTGTAGTCAGATTCGTTTGTTATAGTGTCCTCTCGGGTAGTGGTTCTTCAGTAGCGAGCAACTATGAAGTTATTGAAGATGTTGAGTGCAGTGATGCTGGCAGCTGTGTTAGCACTGAACATTCTAGGTAAGACACCACCACCTTTAATGAATAGGTAATCTGTTATGCACAAAATATCACAGGCCACGTGATTGTTGTAATAGGCAAATAGCCACCTGGGGAGAGTAACACGAAATATCGAAGTGCTTTTGTGATTATTCACATTTTCGTGGAATTCGTATAAGATCTCGTGTTTCTGTTTGTTAGTGGTTACCTGCAGTGTACTGTACAAACTATATTAAAAGGGTTGTGAGCACTCAGCCAGCCAATGACTTCTTTCAAATCTTGCTCGCCTCTTTTGCCATGTTGGACGTAGTTTTTTGTGATCTCTGTATACATGTTGCCCCGATGTCTTGCAGTCGCACACTGGTAAACCCTTTCAGAGCATTTTATACCGTATCATAATATAGTGGTAAAGAATGCTTTACTTGCTGTACAACTACATAAAACGCCTCGTGGAGTGTTGCAGTAACAGCTCTCTTGACACTGGCACAGACAAATTATTTATATTTGAGAGTAACTTAGGATGTGTACTGTATGTCCAGTGTACGATATTTTGTTTGTGTTCAACTCTGAAGCTGTGGTTTTCATAGGCAAAACTGAATACCGAGATGATTTTTCTGTGTTTTGTTACTTTGTTCACTCATTCAGTTTTGTTTAGCGTAGCCTGTAATAAATATACCTTGATAAAATATCTTGATAAAATCACACGGGAAAAGGAAAACAACGGAGCACCTTAGCTTTCGTCTTTATTCAAGACATCTTCAGAGGCAACTTTCGTTACACCGATATCTAACGTTGTTCACTTGTTCTACTAAATACGTTTTATAACTTTCTTTCCATCATCTATTACAGTACCTTTGTAATAAATAATGTAACCCCCTTGAGTGAGTCCACCTTGACTTATGACAGGTAAATATAGGAGGAGGGTGACCCACGAATTGGCCTTAAGTTACATTAACTAGGGCTGTACAGGCTGGGGGCTACAAGAAAATTACTCTCGTCTCAAGAATACTCTACCCCCTCCGTCAGCTAGCCAGGAAAGCTATTCATAGATTTGCCTAACGCTGCTAAAATGATTATGTACTCAGGGTTGACAAATTTTAACGAAAGTGATGTATAAAAAAATACCGCTAAAAGATACCAGTTCAGTTAGCCATCAGCCATAGTTGCGGAAAGCTTACCTTGGATAATAATGTTCATTTAAATTTAACAAGGTAGACGGGTAATAAACAGAAGTTCACAATCATTCAGAGTATCTTAGAGAAGCCGACAATGGGCTAAGTAAGAGGCGAGGAAGTGTCTGGTTGGTGGTGCGACCTCCCTCCACTAGCAGCTTAACCCCGTACCAAGGTGCTTCCCATCATTATGTACTGTACCACTTCTTGGTTTATCGCGTGAACATTATTATCTTACTGGTTAGGGTAGGTAATATGCGTTTGCGCTTCATTTCTAGGGCAAATATTGTTCCAGTGTATGTTTATCGAGCCAGTAATGTTACCAAAGTCGTTTATCACCTTAGAATGATTTTTGTTTTTTGCTGTAATTTGTTTATTTGGTCAATATTCTTCGGTCACCATTGCAAAAGATGTGGCTGGGTATGGTTACAGTGTGTAGGCAATGGTGTGGCTGGCGATGTGTCAAGGGTGTGTTATAAGGGATATGGTTGAGGGTATTGAAGAGTTTGGCGGCAAGGCTGAGGGTATGAACCACTTGTTTGGGCATCAGTTGGTCTGGAGGTGTGTGCACTAGGGAAAGGTGATGCTGCCTCAACCTGGTCTGGGTGTAGCAAACCATCAGGAGGGTTTACTTCTCCTGTGTGGGTTGATGAAAAGTGGAGGGGCGTTTTGTACTGTGGTGGGTCGTATGGAGGACTATAAGTGGTGGCATCCCGTTTACATGAAAGAAAAAGTTGTTGTGGGTGTTCCAAGTAATTTTTGGATGTAACGATATTGGATGTATACGTCTGTTATAAAACTAATAAATGTTGTAAGATTTATCTGGTGAAACAACACTTCTTTATCAGTGTGAAATTTAAGAGCGTAAACTGCCAAGTGGGGTTATTAATTCGTGGGAGTTTCTTCAATGCCAAAGGTAAAAAGCGTCACGGAAAGCGAGAAGTCTAAAAAAAATGAATTGGCGGTATTATATGATGGAGAACTCTAGACCTATGGTATGTGTTTTGTTTCATTGTTGTCATTAGTGTGGAATTTCGGATGGGTAAGATATTTAAGAATTACTTACTGAACAATGCTTAAACTTATTTTTCTCATTTTATTTATTTATTTTTCTTGAAGAGAATGACACAAACACACAAGTTGTTGCCACAGCTCTGCATTTCAACACTCCCAAATCCATGTTTGACCCCAGGAGTGAAGGTCTGGCGATAACTGTGTAAGTAGACTGGCCTTGGGGGGCGATGTGTGTTATAGAATGACTCGGCTCTGGGATCTATGACACCAGGGAGGACCCATGAGGAGGAATGTTGTGTTTCGATGGTAGTGCTTGTGACGAATTAGAGGCTACTGCTGACATCCTCCACGCTGACGAGTTTGCCACCCGCCGCAGTTTGGCAACACCCACCTCCACGTTTTATTAGCAGTTTATGTTATCATCTGTATTAATATCTCTCGTGAATCTCCCTCCCTCTCTCTCTCCCCTCACCCTCAATTTGATGATATTAAATGAAGGATGAAACGACTTGCCACTCTATTACTCTGCAAACTTTAAAATTTCCTACAACACACTTACTAGATACAACCACATACTTATTGGATATCATAAACCTACCGTAATACTTCCACATGCCTACCACATACTATCCTATACTATCACATACCTACCACATATTATGGTATACCATCAATTTAGACATACACACACACATACATACACAGTGCACTGGATGACGCACCTCGCTCACGTAGCGGCGTAAACTTGCCTGTAATTTGACGCCGATGTATCATTCTGACTAACTGTGAAGATTGCTTTAAGAGATTTTCTGCAGGTCATGGAGCAGTGGGTGGCGAAAATTGCCGTAAGATATTCCGGCCATTTAGTAATCTAGGTTTAGGTATTGAATTAAAACAACTGTACCGCTTAGCTTTAGTGTAAATAGTTTTGACTTAATTACGTATTTGTATTAGTATAAAACAAGTGATCGTGGGCCCTTCGTGCCCGGTTCGTCGTCCGGCTGACAGCGTACAGTGACATCGTTTTCCAGCGTAAATAAAATGGTTAATTAATGGCTTCCTAAAGAAACCATCGACATGGAACCAGGTTTTTTCCACTCCACGAATTGTTTGCGATTTTGCCACCAAGTTAGATGAAAAACGATTGTGCCCTTTCGGCTGCCTAGAACAGACACACACACACACACAGACAGACACACGGCTCTTCCTATAGTATATTAGAAACGTAAGTTCTAAACAAGGTTAAATGGTGATAAGGAAACTTTTGATTAATATGTATGTCGTGTTGAAATCACCATCAAAATCCTCTGTCACTTAACCCACATGACTCCTGGCCGCAGTGGGATGCATTTACATGTTTGATTATATAGTATAAGATGTTTATATAATGATAATGGTTGCCCCTCGTGTAACGAGGATGGTCGGTCCAAGGGCCACCTAGGCATGAATTTGTTAAGGAATAGTCAGAGAAGACCGGACAACTCGCCATCTGCACTGGCTAACCATTACCCAGGAATACGATCCGCAAATTGATTAACATCCAGGTTCCCAATTACTGCTGGGTAGACAAGCAAGTGACGTAAAGAAACTTGCCCATAGTTTCACCCTGCCCGGGGATCAAACCCGGGTCCGCTCGCTTGCGAGGCGGGATTGCTCACCATTACTCTGCAGGTCGCTATTTATATACCTTCTATATGAGTATGGTATATGTGAAGTTGGGTTTAAATGTTTTCAGGGTGAGGATTGGTAATTGTTGGGTGCTGTCTATGTAAACAAAGTGAAATGCATTGAATCTTTTAGATCGTCGTTGGGTAATTAATCTCCACAAACTGTAAATTCCCAGGCACGTCAGACAGCTGATGAACACACGCTAAAGCCTCACTACTTTACAACACGTTGTAGAAGGTTGTAGAAACACACCATTGATTGATCACGTGAGCTTGTTGCATTACAAGTCGAAAATTCTTGAACTATAATCCCACATTATGATAATGGTAAAAGAATATCGCATTTAAAGTCTCAACTCCTTATGTAAGAGCTTATTATACAAATATCTTCTCTAAAGTAGTTGGGTGCCATATCCGGTAGGAGGCGCGCATCCTGCCATTCACTAGAAGGTGTGGGAGTCAGCACGGCGCCCAGCCTCGTCTCGCTTGTATGGGGTGTAATAGCCATTTCTACACACGTTAATTGCAACATCTTGACCCCGCCTTCACCCTTACCCTTCCACGTTGCTCTCATCCTCACCCTACAAGAAATATAAAATCACTTAAAATGTTTAACAAAAATCGGAAAAAGCAGAAACATAATCACATAGACGATATTTCTGCCCTTGTGACGATTAACTTCAATGAATGACGGCAGTGAAAGTTAAAAGAAGAATAAGTATTTGTTATAATTATTTTGGCGTTACTCTGGAATGATTTACACGCTAATATACTTGTATAATCTAAATTCTATAATGGTATATCTCGTTCAAAGTGTCGCCAGCTCCCTCACCTGTTAAGTTTATGTATAACATTTTTGTACCATATATATACAAAGTGAGTATTTAAATATAAACTGGTAATACTAAAATACATAGGATAGTTGCCTTAAGTAATATATACACTGTAGAATAGGATTACCTTTACGCAAGTCATGAATGCGTTTGGGTGACCTTACATCACTCAGTTGGGAGCGTTACAGGATATCTTAATGACTTCCTAAGCATGGTCCGGATATTGGGCGATACAGTACAGTAGTTACGCGAGTCTTGCGTCAGTGACCGTAGAGGTGGCTCGCCGGGGAAGGAGGGAGACCTATTGGTCAACTTAAGTTAATCTAGAATCTAGATAATGTGCCTGACTCCAGTATTTTCATGTAATATAATTTTGTTAAATCCTATTCTTGTTTTGATGTGAAGTTAAATGGATCATATTTATTCATATATTAATGTTATCACGGTTTAACCAACTAGTGAATGCCTTGTTGCAGACCAGTTAGAAAGCAAGTTACAGACGCCGTTTTTACCGATATCTGAATACGAGTACTGTGGTTGTTTTAATTTTATAGGACTATATTGCAAATTAAATGATCTTAAATTACGCCCTGAGTTATAGTAGTAGTAATGGGTTTTGCAAGGATGTCGGGTTGTCATCGTGAAACCTATTTTTTATTAAGTTAGTTAAAATGCTAAGACAATACACGGATATCTGGATAGCAATCGTGTAAACATGACCTACGAGATTAGAAAGAACTAGCCGCTGCCTCATGCTTTTCGTGAGATTAAGTTCCTATATTCTCTTTCAGGTTTCTCGGATGGGTTTCTACTGGCGGAGTACGATCAGAGAGGTCTGAGGGGACAGGTGGGGCTTCTGAGGGCTCCCGGCGGAGAGGTGACAGTGGCGGCCAGCATCAAAGGCGCTGTGAAGGGGGAGGTGTTCGTGTGGAAGATTTTCAACACCCCTGTGGCGCCTTATGAGGAGTGTGTCCCCAGCAACTATGGCCAAGAGTATGTGTGTGGTGCTCTCTCTCTCTCTCTCTCTCTCTCTCTCCTATTTGTAATGATTGTTTATCAGACCAGAGATAGAGAACACAGTCAGTAGATGAGCTGGTATACACCCACGTAAGTCGACACACCCTACAGTGAGATGAAGCTTGTGGTGGCAGTAAGCTAGGCTCATTCTCCGCTCACCTTATGTGTTTATGCCCGCTTGCCTGTGCCCCGGGTTGACTTCTCGGCACATCTCGGGCAGGAAATGTGTTGGTAAAGAACTCTTCCAGGCCACTCAGGGTTCTTCTTATTCATCAGTGTAGGTAGACCACCGGATTCTTGGAATTAAAATGCGCAGTGAAGGGAGAGAATTAGAGGAAAAGATAATTTATGTGGGAAGGAGAGAGGGTAAAGAAGCTTCTCACCAAATTTGCAGATGAGGTCGTGGTGATGGTCAGAGAGAGCCGAGCGGGTCAGTGTTTGAGCGCTTCTTGATATGTGGTGTAGGAAGGGGAGAGGATAATTTTGCATTCCCTCTTTTGAACTTTTCTGGGTGTTTACGTTGTGTGTGTGAATATTCCCACCATTAGACTTGTAGTTTTTCCGGCAAATTAGAAATAAAGTTTTTCTCAGGTGACGATGTGGTATTAACTATATGTTCCAGGGTGATGTAACTTGCCTATCCTACCATTCATTCAAGACGACACACACACACACACACACACACAGCGGTGGGTGGGTCTTGCCTTCCTCGTTCGGTCTTACCTTCCCTGATAACTATTTTTTCCTATTGAACTTTGACTTCTGCATAGGGTATCTAGTGCCCTTTTGTGTGTGTATGTATATGGATGTATGCATGTATGTATGTACGTACGTGTGTATGTGTATCTCACTTGCGGACTCATGGGAACGGGATGACTAGAACAACTTTCAGGTGTCGAGGAATTTCCAGAAATGATTAAGAAAAGAGAAAAACTAGTTGGTTAATGATCCATAATTCTGGTGTACAGTATTCCCGTTGTCCTCCTCCACCTGAGCTGTGAGCCAACAAACAACAGATACATAAAAAAATATATATATTCTCGCGACTATTACTGTTGTAATGTGGTTCTTACTGCGCTCCGACCACTTTGGGAAATCCTGACATTTTACCGATTTTGATTAGAATTTTACTGGTTGTCAAATCTGAACTACGTAATCCAGTCAACTGTGAAAATTCTGCTAACGTTGGATCTTGCTATACTTATTTATATTATATATTAGCCATCAATTTGGAGACTAAATTAACGTAAGTCCTTCTTGTTTGCAATAATATAGTAACTTCATCCTTATGTTAGGTTAACGTATTTTCTCTTTTCTATCCTTCTCTTTTCAATTAGCGCGTATTTCATTCTCCCTCTCCCCGTGTCCTTGTTTATCTCCTTTCTTCATTTATGGTGTTTATTCTTTCCTCAGTTAGAATGTTGTTTGTTTCGTTTTGTTTGTTTGAGGGAAAGTAATTCTTCTCCGTCATGACTGCTAACTGGTGTAACATTTTTTTTTACGCTGCCGCAGACTGTTGGACCTGAGCGAGAAACACGGGTTGCTGTTGGCGGAGACTGTGGTGAGCCTAGGCGAGTTGGACCTCTGGCAGCTAGTGGAGCGTCCGTTAGTGCTCAAATCCCTTACGACATTGCGAGTAGTGTGTGGCATCCTTAGGCCCACCGCCCCCACCGTCACCTACGTCGCCTCCTTCATCACTACCCTCGCCGGCAAGATGGTTTTTAGGCAGGTAAGGAAACTGGACTGGTGATGTGTCGTGACCCCTTAATGGTTTCACTGCTCACTCTTTCTAATACGTAATTTATATTCGTTTTTTTTTAAGGTATACTCTCTTATGCTTCTGAGAATATTCATGTGCAGGTAGACGATGGCGGCCAGTCGGTGACGGGGGTGAGGTCAACCCTGGTGGCCGCTAGTACCAAATTGAAGGCACCAGCCACCCTCACTTGGCGACTCTTCAATAGGTAAGACTCCATAGATGTAATTATCGTCTGTATGTATAGAAATTATTTACATTGAGCATTCCAATGTGACACGTCTAAAAATAAAGTTAGGCATCCTCCAGAGTATTTAATTAAACCACAATTAAAACGTTTATTTATACAGTATGTGTGTTTGTTTTTGTCTTCGCAATCTCTAGCTATAGTTTTAAGATAGGGTATTAAGTTATTTGACACGAAATCAACACCAGTGAATGTCGTGTAGCGCTGATAGTACCCAAAACTGTATTTATTTGTGTTACGAAGTTTTTTTTTTTGGGGGGGGGGGGGATGCTGATTAGCGCCTGGGGACACCTCCAATACCACACTTACACATGTACCATAGATAACCTTACTCCTACTTCCCAGTGGACTCCTAAGATCTCCACTAGGCGCCACTACATCTTATACTTGTTTTGCTGTCTTCCAGGAGGTACGAGTCTGAAGACGTGTCCCTGAGCAATATGCGGGACGGGTGCGCTGCCCTTGGACACTTCCCTGGATCTGTAGTGCACGAGGCTATCTACCCTATACCACTGGGGACCACTAAAGCAGAGGCGCGTCACTACGAATTGGAGAGACTCCCCAACCTTCACATGGTAATACTGTACTGTGTTCGTTTTCTTTAGAAGTAAATCAAAGAAACGTAATAAATATGGGGTTGACTTAAAAGATCTAGTATTTGTTGATTTGATTTGACATTTTAAATTATTTGGTACGAATTCATACACAGTGAGGTATTATTGGTAGTCTGGTAATTTTACAAGTGACAGATAGATAGATAGATATTCATTGAAATGATTATACACATTTACAAAGACGATGCACCTGTATAGTTAAACAGGCATATAGACTACTCAGTTTATACTATACCTTACCTTTCACTATCACCTGTTCACCCTTACCTTTCACTATCACCTGTTCGCCCTTACCTTTCACTATCAGCTGTTCACCCTTACCTTTCACTATCAGCCGTTCACCCTTACCTCTCACTATCACCCGTTCACCCTTACCTTTCACTATCACCTGTTCACCCTTACCTTTCACTATCACCCGTTCACCTTTACCTCTCACTATCACCTGTTCACCTATACCTCTCACTCACCTGTTCACCTCTCACTCTCACCTGTTCACCCTTACCTTTCACTATCACCTGTTCACCTATACCTCTCACTATCACCTGTTCACCTTTACCTTTCACTATCACCTGTTCACCTATACCTCTCACTATCACCTGTTCACCTTTACCTTTCACTATCACCTGTTCACCTATACCTCTCACTACCTGTTCACCTTACTCACCTGTTCACCTTTCACCTCACATCACCTGTTACCTTTCACTATCACCTGTTCACCTATACCTCTCACTCACCTGTTCACCTCTCACTCTCACCTGTTCACCCTTACCTTTCACTATCACCTGTTCACCTATACCTCTCACTCACCTGTTCACCTCTCACTCTCACCTGGCTCTCTCTAAGATCTTCCTTCCTTGACTTTTAATTGTTCCGTCACCTTCACCCCAGCTGCCGCCTGTTGACTTCCTGCGAGATGACTTTCCCTTTTTCCTTTCCATTTTTTTCCGTTTATGGTCAGCAATACCTTGTCTTGTGTCCCCCCCCCCCACCTACTCTCTCTTCTCTTCTCTTCCTCCCTTCACTTTCTTTTCATATCTTTTACACCCTATCTCCTCCTATTCTTCTTCCTTCTTTTCCCTTCCCATACTTTCATCTCTCTCTCTCTCACACTCTTCTTGCTTACCCACATCCTCCCCTTCCTTCTTTTCACACTCGTCTCCTCCCTTATTTCCACATTCCTTCCTTCCCCTCCTCAATCTCTGCCTCACCCTCTTCCCTCCACTCACTCCCTCCCCTCCCTCCCTCACTCCCTCCCCTCCCTCACTCCCTCTCCTCCCTCACTCCCTTCTCTCCCTCACATCACTGACGGTAGTGGGTGTTGCAGGTAGCGGGGCGGGGAGTGGTGTATGTGGTGGTGTACGCTGGAGAGCGGATGCTGGGGTGTTCCCGCCTCTTCAGGTCTCAACCTCGCAGGGCCGTCGCTCACTTCACCCCAACTACGGTAGGTGCCACTTACTCCTGACGATGCGGGTGGTGGTTAAATACTACTACTACTAATAATAGTATATATATTTAGTTGGTAGTAGTAGTAATGTTACAAGCTGTGGAAGAAAGTGGTAATATGGTCTTGGCAGTGGATGTAACCAGGGGAATTTATTTACAGTAGTAGTAATAGAAGATAATCTTTAAATTGAAGTTTTATTCGTAAGCGTAAATAATGACGATTCTTTTTGTCATAATAAATATTGTCTGAATAATTTTCTCCACCTCTGAATAAAATACTGGGCTGATTGACATTCGTATCTGCAGTTTATAACGATCAATAAGTTTTCTACGATATCTACTAGGATTGTAATATGTAAATGAGGAGAAGGAGGTGTATAATGTGTTGTTTTACTGGCGTGTTTGTGTGTCCAGGTAGGTGGGGTGGGAGGAAGAGTGGAGGTGTATCAGGTGTCACCTCTCGACCATGTCAAGCTCTCTATCAACCTTACACTCCCTCGAGGCAACGCCGCCGCCTTTGGCATCGACAACTTCGCCATAGGAGACAGGTGAGGCGAGGGACAGATAGATACCCTTGCCCCACCTGTCTATTAGACAGGTGGGGCAAGGTGAGGTGAGGGACAAATAGACAGGTGAGGCGAGGGACAGATAGACAAGTGAGGCGAGGGGCAGGGAGGTGATAAGACCCCACACAGGCAATTCGAGGGTTAATTTGTTGCCAGGTCTTCCCACCCAATATGCACCTAAACGAGAATACCATTAAGCATACATTTCAATCTTCTGCTAGAGGTAACATATAACGTGGAAGTTAACCAGATAATTTGAGCTTGTTTATGCACTCTCAGGTGTTGTGTATAGTAAAAGTAAAAATCTTGGTCAAATGTCAGATTCTCCCAAATGACTAATATTAAATGATTCACTTCTGATTTATTATTTACTACTGCAAGTTCGTGTTTCGCATGTTTGACTATAATATGTAATGTTTGTGAGATTCCGAAAGCATCGCCTAATGAATTAATAGTAAAAGGACTAAACTCGCTAATGCAGCCATCTAGAAATCTAATATTTATGAGTATTTATCTTGCCAGGATCTCATGTACTGGGTTGTCTCGTCGGTTCTATGAGCCATGGTATGTGGACCTGGACCTGACGCCGGCACCACAGCAGGGAACAAAAGACCTCTATCCTGCTGGGGACTTGAGCGGCAAGTTCGGCACACTGATTAGTCTGAAGGAGGCGGCAGCTACGCTCACTGACCCGACCATTACACTCTTCGGAGAACACAGTGTTATTGGTGCGTGTCAACACTCGCTATACTTGAATGTTGCTGTCAGATCTGTAGTATTTAATATGTTGGTTGTTTCAGTGAATAGTAAACCATTATTTAGATAGATTTCGGAATGTAACTTGACGTATAGTGTACGTTATTCACTCTGTATAAATACCTCACTCGTGACCTTCTTCTAGAGAGAGTTGTTTATGGCCATTCTAAATAAAGTTTACAATGAGTAGTTTCACAAGTTGTAAAGGAAAATCAGGTGTTAGGATCAACAGATGTTTTTTTAATCCACCGGAAAGACATCTTATGACACCATTAATTAAAACTTTAGTAAACTGAAAATGAATATATATATACATGTATATAAACTTAAGTCAATTACATAAATTTCTATTGGAGGCGACATTATTAATATATTGAACTAATAGGAATATATCTAAAGGATTCAGTAGGTTCAACACTAAACCCCTGGGCGCACATGTTACTCCTATTGATGTAAGTGAAAGTTGAGGTCGTTTTTTATGAACACCGTAAACGAAAAAAAGTCTTATGCTTTCAATAGGATGACTTGGCTTTTGTAGGATCTGATCCACTCTAACCTGACCAGATCTTACTCTACTACCAGCTAGTATATGTTTGTTGACTGTTTTACTTCCCCTGTAGACGTGTTGCTCATGAACGATAGCGACCAAGCTCCATGTAAGGTCTTTTTTTTTCCCTTGGCGTTTGTTAGTAATCATTTCAGCTCGTCACGTATTGTATTTTCAAGTATAAGATACACACACACACACACACACAGAGCAGAAGAGGATAGGGAGTGTAAAGGGCCATAAGACGAAGTGGGCAGGGAATGGACTGAGTGAACGAGGCCGGGGAATAAATGGGTCGGGGAGAGAGAGAGAACTTGGGAACAAAGCTTGAGAGTGGACATGGCTGGGAGTCGGTCAGGGTTGGGAAGAGAAAGCGTCTTCAAATGGAGGATCGGGGAAAGTGGAGAGAGCCAAGGAGCCTGCGGGTGTGGAAGGCCATGATTCCGCGAGTAAGGACTCTGGTGTGTGACGAGCCACTTACGGTAGTTTGCCTAAAATAAGGACCCTGATTATGTGGCAGGTCGTGGCGTGGCGGTGTATGACCCCAGTTGGAGGGTGGTGGGGTGTGCCGACCTAAAGAGCGAGGTGCCTCAGGTGAACGCGGTCGCTGTCTTCTCAGGTGCCATATCCGGCGTCCTCCGCCTCTCACAACCCATGGACTCCATCTTCTCCGAGACAATTGTCTACCTCCGGCTGTATCGCACGGGTGAGATGCTCAGAGAACCATTCGTTTAACTCAAAATTACAGTATTTAAGACTTGAAGCTTCTTCTGATTAAAGATTGTATGAAGTGAATAAACATTTAAATTTCAAAATACACTAACATTTCTTAAGCCACATGATGACTATCAGTACCATAGAGACTTAGCACACTGTACAGTAGAGGCTTCACATCTTGCCTTTCTATCCCTGTCAGGAGGCAAGGATTCGGCAGGGCACACGTGGCATATACACACCCAGAGCCTGGACGAGAACGGCAAGTGTAGTTCTGCTGGCGGACACTTTAATCCCTTCTTCACCAACTTGACAGACAGGTAAGTCAGGCCGGTAGGTATCTCTCCACATGAGTTATGACTGTCAGGTGTCTCCCATGGTGGATCATGTCTAAAATCCCGACAGAGGTGACAAGAGACATACGTTATGCCCACCTGACTACCAGTTTCGTTGTGAACATGTTTAGTATTGTGTTAAATACTCATTCAGAGGATAGGAAAAAAGCTTTGTATCCATTCGACTACCAAACTGTACTATGTAACCTAAATTCCGGTTTATGTTAGCTTGGCTTAAGGTCCTAGAATCAGTTTTAAATATTTACTTGTTTGTATTAAGCCAGCTAATTAGTTTGGCGACAATAAGTTGTGATAACTTCAGGATGCTTACAAGTTATATTACACATGGTCTTTGGTCCTTGTGACTTATATTAATGTGTTTATCTCTCCCACAGGCAGAAGTATAACGGTACCCCTTTGCCTCACACAGCCTACGAGGTTGGGGACCTGCACGGCAAGCATGGCGAAGTCACCATCCCGGGACCTCGCACTTCGTGAGTCTTAGTTAATATTTCTGTGAAAACCTCTGGGACGTCTTTTTCTTTTGTCATCAACACCAAATTTTTATTTATTTTATTATTTATATTTTTTTTGCGCGATACAGTATCCAGAAGACAGGAAGAATTCTGTCTCTTATAGTTTTTTTTTATTGATGGACTAGTTATTATTAATCTTGTTACGTGCTTCTAAACCTTAGTTGTTGAAGCTTTCTCTTTACTACCCCTTGTCTCAACACAAACACGCGCGCACTGTTTCAATTATTTTTTATTTGTAAAAACAAATTATTGTACCACACAAGTTTTTCTTTTCTTGTCTCATAGGTATAAAGTACCTGTAGTCCACAGCCAGTCTCATTTTTCTAAGTAATTTGTCACGTTTTTGTAGTATTCTCTCGTCCAACAAATCGTTCGAGTCTACAATAAAGATCTATTGCCTCAGAGCTTTATACTTTCCATTTCCGTAATCATCATATTTAAATTTCCATTTTTTTCGTCTGCATATCATGCAAATACCTTAGCACTATAATTTTTTCAATGGGTAAATGAAAGTAAAGCTTTTCTACCTCTTTTTCATCAGTTGACAGCACGGAAGTTAGTTTTTGTTTCCTGTGCTAATGTTATCATTATGCTGCGCTATAAGAAACTCTTTTGTATTTTCTAAACTTTCATTTAATCATGCTATTGGTGTAAACATTTCCCGTTAATCGACTTAGGTTTGAGATCATCATAAAGTATTACATCCATATATTTTTAAGAGGCATTTTTCACTAGCCAATCGGAGATTTGATCTGGTCATCAGCATATGTCAGATTTTTTCTAAAGTTCGACACACAGGTGTTGTATCAGACCTTCCTTCATCTAACAATATTATTTTCGTATCAATCCTCTATACCTGATACAAACCTTTCCTTAACGACAGGCAGCGTGACCTGTCTTCTGGGCGTTACCAGTGGACGGACGAGTGGCTGCCGCTGCTTGGGGAGGCGTCGGTGCTCAACAAGGCCCTGGTGGTGCACGACGCTGACGGAGACGCTGCTAGGGTTGCCTGTGCTAATATAGTCATGGAAGAAATCACAGGCTGATGGCTAGGAGGAAGAGGTAAGCAATGCTGAGAGTCGACATTTATTTCTGTGATTTAGAAAATATTGATATATAAGCAGGATATTATCTCGAAGCTAAACTGACGTAGTAGTTGTGCCTTTGATGCTTACCTTGGTCTGAAATATTGATGCTAAAAAGGGGAAATTGTGATAAAACTATTTATTTGTTTTTTTGAAAGACGGTAATATGGAAATTCATTGAAGTTGTAGAGTTCAATACAAGGGAAGTTGGGAAGTGTTTATGACGATCTAAAGACTATATACCAGATGTTCAGAACCACATAACCTGCCGTCTGCTATATTGGCCGATGGCAAGTTAGGATTCTGAACGCCTCGTATAAAAACTGGGACAATAGAATGTTACCTTTTGCTGACCATTGTATCTACTTATGTGTGTCCCCCACCAATCACTGATCTCTACAACAGAGAGAGGGTGTAAAGCCAGGCGTTAATATACTATCTTCATCTTTCTAGGTACAGTGTTGATACAAAGAAATGGGAACACCTGGAGACAAGCTTCAGTGTTGGGTAAGAGTCACAACCTAACCTAAGCACCGTCATCCCTGTTGTAATGTAGGAAGAAAAGTCAACCATTCTCTTCATTTTATCATTATCAGTAGACTGGTGACTCACGGTGGTACATGATCTCCTCAGTTTCCTCCTGCTAGTGCCAAAATCACGACCATTGTATTATTTAGAGCACTGTATGTTGAAGTACCATTACGGTGATAAATTAAGATGTTTATTTGTCCATTATATAACTGTATGTGTACTGTAGTTTTATTGTGTATGTAGATATTATCTGGTATCCAAGTAGCCTATTATTGTAGTAGTATTAACAGGCACAGGTGTGGATAACATGGCTGGCTGGGGTGTTGTCATGGCGTGAGTCTGGTGTTCAAGGTTTTATTTATTTAACTTACTTATCTGTTAACTGCTTTTCCGGGATATTTAATGCTTGAGTTTCTTTAAAAAAAATTTGGTAGGAAGATAATATTAGTGTTTTATAGTTTTTCCTCCCATTTTCATAAAATTTCAATAAAAGTTAATTTCTTAAAAGCGTGAAAATATGAACCAATAATTTTTGAATAATTTGTCTTTTAATCTCGATACAGCGTCTTATTCTTTGTGTGAAAATGTATAGAGTTGAACCATTTCACTTGTATTACGTTTGGAAAATAGCATAAAGGTTTTCATTACCTCGGTCTTGAATTACAGTATAGTATTTAGAATTTCGTTTTTATCTCTGTGTATGGTAGCTATTCAATCCAGCGTAGACCTATGACTTGAACCAACACACACACACACACACACACCATATAGAAATAATTAAAGCCTTTTCATTGTTAGTAGATACACTTTGTAATCATCAATATATCTAAGTATAAAAAAGTCGAGTTAAAAGAAAACTATATTCATTACTAAGTCTCACCACCGTACTGTTGATCGTTAGTTAATCAGTTAAACCTATGAGATGCAGGTAAATAAAAATGTTAAGATAGATGATGAAAACATATAATGCCAAAATTATATCACTCGATGTCATAAAGCAGTGATCACAGAACCTGAAGCACTCGCAAGAGAGAGACAGACATGTTGGTATTGTGGTTGTAAGCTGAGCAAATGTATGGTTGTGGTTTCGGCAGGTGTGTCGTTGTGAACTCTGCAGGTGTTTGGTTGTGTCCTGAGCAGGTGTGTGTGAAGGTCTCGCAGTAATTAAGGGTCCTGAGTAATCCGCCACTTAGTGACTAACCGGACTCCTTAATCTCACAGCTTCTTGTCGATGAGGAGACGCATCATCTGACGCACCGATGACCATACTGTTGGGTATTTCTTTGGTAACACCGTTGAGTTTTCCGTTGGAGACATTGTTGGGTTTGCCGTTGGGGAAACCGTTGGTCATTACTCTTGATGCATCATAGGCCATTTTGTAAGAATGTTTGCTTGATGGGTGAATGTAACACATGTTTGAGAGGCCTGGCATCGTTACCTTGGTGCCAGCATTACCCTGAAGGAACCAAACTTATATCAGAAGTTGTTTTTTTAAAGTCAAGAGAGATCAACATACAACTAGACTATCAAAATACAAAGGAACGAAATATAGGATCCCAGCTCATAATAAAAAATAAAAATAAAACTTTTCTGAGGCATTACGGGAATACAGTATAATGAAAACATCTTGGTTACTGTGCGGACGTCCTATAAAATTTTACATATCTATTATAGTAAGGTACTAAAATATTGATTATATAGGTGAAATAATGGTTATCAAGTAAGGGTCTTAGGATTCGTTATCACAGGAGAGAGAAAAACAAAATTGGAAGCGTTTCACTGAGACACTGACCTCGATTTTTACGCTTTTCCGGTACGACTTGATGTAGAAGTTTGCGAAGAGGACAAAGAACATGACCGCAATACCGCACTCCCATCGTAGACACACTGACGGCACCTCACACTCCACGAATGCCACCTGTGAAGTAAGAGTTATTATAACATTACCCTGTCAGCGTGGGAGGTAGCCTGGAATACAAAGATGTTCTTGGAATGCCAAAAAGCCCCTGCAAACTTGAGATGCCCCGTGGAACCCTTAGATGTTTTTAGAATCCTGATGTAATAAAATCCCCTAAAACTTTAGAACCCATAAACATGCTCTGTCCTGATATGCCTCGGTGAATGGCACAAGTTGATCGATGGTGCCGTATGGGGCGCCCGGCTTCCTCTAACAAACATCACTTTCACTAAACAACAAAAAATAGTGTTACCGAGACAGCATGGAAGAAGACGATGGTGAACTGCACCATCTGTAGCATAGTGAGGTACTTCTTCCACCAGAGATAGGGACGGAGGCGGGGACCCATGGCCGCCAGCAGGTAGTACGAGTACATGACAACGTGTACGAAGGAGTTAATGAAACCCATGAAGGTAGCGTGACCACCTGAGGAGAACATGGTATCTTAATATGGCAGTCAGAGGAACTTGCATTAATATTTGTTTACATGAGCTGTGGATTAAAGGAGCACAGTATTTCTATTTGATTACTGTCATTGATCACTAGTAAACTACACACTCGGAAACAGTGGATATGTTTCATCTGACTTTACAGCGGATAAGTCTTATAACCGAACTGTCGGACACCTGCCTGACTGTGTATGACATCTGATGGCTATAAACTGTCCCTACTAGCTATACGTGACACCCATCTATACTGCACGCCTATGTAACTACCTATCTACATTCCCAGTTTGCAATACAAGCACCTAGCCATATAACGCGATGGCTATAAAAGAACTTGGCTACACAAGCACCTCACTAGACACACGGTTAGTTATAAAAGCACCACAGTATGTAACCAACTGGCTATGTACAGTCACCTAGATATAAAGGGTTTACTCACCTGCCTGATGACGGACGCCGTACCAGAGGCTGATGGGCATGAGGGCGTGGTGACTGACGTGGAGGACGGAGATGTGCTCGTACTTCTTGTTCAACACGAAGAAGATCTGCAGCAAAAATACTCACACTCAGGACACGCATCTTCACCTTAAATTCATGATGGAGTATCGTAATAATACCTCAATTAATGAAATAATCTGAGGTGCCCAAGAACTACAGTACATCATGAACCTGGCATGATAGCTACTGTGATATATCCATCTGATGTCAAGGAAACAAAATACATAAATTGGAACATCCTGAAGCGCTGGTTATAGTTGAGCTAATATTGAAAAAAGGAGCTCGCTATGTAATTGACAAAAAAAATAAGAATTTCCAAGCAGAGTAGTGATCGTAACCCCAGAGCAGCCATGTGATGCAACGTGTGTAGTGTACAATACTACTTGCGTGTCCTTGAAATCCGTGAACCTGCAAATGAAACTTTATTCTGTCTGGTTCTTTCCTGAGAAGGGCCTGAGATATGTTTACCTTTCCTTCCTTAAACTTGTTCTCGTCTTGCTTAGGTTAACTGTTTCATCTCCGGAGCTGTGTCTCTCAGTGTGTTTAGAGAATGTTTCTCTTGCGGATTTTCTCATCTTGTAAACTTAATAATTTCAACTGTTGTTTCTCCTCGGTCATGGTTTGTTTCCTCTTCCTATCTATTGTGTCCTCTGTCTCTCTCTCTTGCACTAAACCGCCCCAAGCCTCTTCCACACCCATCTCCTTCCTTCCTCTTAACATTCCAAACTTGTCTCAAATTCCTGCTTGGTATTGTTTCTGTATCTCTCTATTCTTCATTTCCTCCACATAAATTTTTTTAGTGTCTCGCTTAATAATTCTGTACTTTTAACCTCCCTCTTAACTTTTGAAATTTGTAGGTTGTGGTCTGTAGGTCTGACGTTTTTGTCAAATACATATCGGTTAAGAAATGATTGATATTAACTCACCGTGTCAATGAAGTCAACATACTTCGAGAAATAGTACCAGAAAGCTGCGTGCATCATCTGTATAAGGAAGACCGCTATTAGTCCGGACATACTGTGACCCCATGCATGGAAGGAGTCCAAATTTTTGTTGCGTTATATTAAAGGGAACTTGATTTCTTGTACCCAGGGCAAGAAAAGTGTGAATATAATATTTAAATTGACTTGCTTTAAATGCCTTTATTATCTCCAGTTACCAACATAATTTTATTGACCACCAAAGAACTCTTGTGCTGGAGAAAACTCACCCCAATGGCTTTCGGGTTATTAGAGAAGTCACAAGTCTGGCAGATGAACTTGTAGCTCCCAAACCACCCGTTTCTTCCTCCCTGAGAATATAAAAATCATTGTAAAATAGATGAGAGCCGCTGCTGTATGACCACTCGTTATATATCCGTAAAATACACACAAAATTACCTTCCTTAGAATCAGAATACAGACAACGTTTTTTTTTTTTTTTTTCTAAAGCGAACTATTTTGTGGTGTAGGGATGATAGTTTTAGCCGTTGTTGTTGCTAACCAAACTTGTCATAAACCTGAGATTGATCACAGACAACAGTGCCAAGAGGTTGTGGGTCATCAAAGGGCCCCCATTAACCAATGTACAGTACATAAATAACAGTTACTTAATAATTAATATTTTTTAATTTCTTATAACCGTAATCACTTCATTGTTTATTACATGAAGACAAACACTCCACAGTCGTTATGTCTTTCAACTATGTTATAGAATAATTCTCTCACCTCAAATAATAGCCAGGCAGAAAAGACGACCTGGAAGGCGTTGTAGGCAATCATGAAGGGTCTGAGTCCTGAGAAAGGTTTTCTAGAGGACATATAGAGAGGTCCCCACCAGGTGACGATGCCAACATAGAGGAGACACAAGAGGAGGGAGGGGAGGGGCGACTGCAGGAGGAGCCACGATCCCTGGCGGGGGTCTACAGGCAGCTGGCTGGCCACCGTGATCTCCCCATACATGAAACACAGAATGGTGATGCCTGCCGCCCATCTTCCATTAATCTTCAGTGCTTCCAGATCTTAAAAAAAAAAAGAGGAATATATTAGTTTATTTTTGTGTTTAGTTTCTTCTCTCTGTGATGGATTTTATGGTCTTGTTTACACCGCCTCCCATTCCCTCGGTTCATTGTACAGCTGCTGCGTGAAGCCCAAGGTGGATATTCATTGGTTATTCCACTTATTTGTCATGTTGTTTGCTTGTCTGTCTGTTTGATTGGTTGTTTGGGTGATATCTCGGGCACTTGTTGACCAAGAACGGCGATAATTGGACACATTAATAATCCAACCCAATAAAAGAAAAAAAATAATTTGTCTGCTCTCAGATCAGTGACTCGTGCGTTTACCTTTTCCGCCTTGTTGGGGGGAGGGACGGGTGTCGCTCTCAGATGACGTCATGGCTCAGGTGTCAGTGATCTTCCTGGTATCTCTAATTTGTTCACCTGGAATAAACAAAAGACGAACATTTATCATATCCAGAGCATCAGGTAACCGTAGATAAGACGACAGTAATAATGATGAGAATAATAAATAAAATAGAACCATAACAGATGTTTTCATTATATAATACAATGGCATAGTGGAATAAAAAGTAGAATACAAGCAATAATGATAATAATGAATGATAATAATAAGCGATCCGTAAGCTATTGTAGAAGTCCTTACACACCTTGGTATTTGCTCTGGGTTTTCTCATACGCTGTTATATATATCTTTATAAATCATTTTTTTTTAATCGAGGTTAAGCTTTTGGAATCGATAAGGTCTAGTTACGTTAATGTTGAGTTAAATGGAAACCAGAACGAATTTGACCATATACGAATTTCATTTCCATTAAGTTGCAATACGAACAAAACTTTTTTTAAACCTCTTTGGCAAAACTTTAAAGCTTTTTTTTTGGGGGGAGGTATCATATTCGTTACTTAGCGGCTTAATAGTCATTCGGGCGGCTAATTTATCCAGTTATACAGTGTTAGTATAGCGATTATCCCTATTAGATGACATATATTCCTATTTAATGACTTGTATTTATAAGAGAGGTGTTCAATGATGGTACTGTATCCCTCTTCCACAACTATCAATCTAGAGTTTCACCTTTTTGTCAGTTCAAGATAACCTCATATCACTTGTTACGAACCCCGCCACCAATTGTCATGATCTGCCTACCCAGCACTACGAACCACGCCATCTATTGTCCTGATCTACCTACCCAGCAACAGGAGCAATGCCATCTAGGGACGAAACCCGAGTATGACTACTCTTAGTTACCAGTCCGGGGTTTCCCTTCTCCATATCCTGGTTGTTGCGTTACCTCCTCCAAGTCTTCTTCATAAGCTCCAGTTCGATGAGAGTTCAGTTCACTCTGGGAAGTGACCACAGGATCACCTATCCTGGAAACCTACGGCACAGTGACTACCTACCGTCTTCTACAATACTCAGCCTTACTCGTCAGCCATCTCAGCTCCGCACTTAAGTATTTGTAATCTTATATTGCCTCCCCGCGTCCACCTTGCTTCAAATTATTGTATGTTGTATAAATATGTATATACTGTTAATGTTTAGGTTAAGTATGGTTAAGGGTAAATTATAGAACGCTGAATATTTTGTTAAGGAATTTATGGTACTTTATTATACACAACAAAAACTCACATCCTTTGTCTACCCTTTTATAGTCCGATTGTCTTTGTTTTTTTATTGTTGTTGCCTGTTGGGATCTGGGTAGACTTTTAACTATATTCTAAATCCCCAACTCGTAACAAATGGCGACCGTGACAGGTCTATCCTCAAAGGGTAGTTAGTCGATGTGATGGGCCGCCCCGCTTCATGGTGATCACTGCAGCTTCCTGGATGGGCCGCCCCGCCTTCCCTTCTTCCCGGCTAATGCGCCCCCCCTCTTCTCCCCCATCCCACCTCTCGCTTCTACTATCCTCTTCCCATTCTTTCAATATGTCTGTACTACTTGACCAGACACAAATCCACTCGCTGCTAGACCTTTCCACCTAATTGCTGTAACCCTTTTTTTCATCTTAAATTTTACTCACATGTACCTCATTCTTAGTCTTTGTATTCGCCGAAGAATCAATGTTTCACACCTATACATTGAATCCATTATATCGAGAAGTGTGTTATACGGATGTTTCACTGTATATAATAATGTTAACTTGGTTTCAAAAATACTTCACAACATCAGCAGGGGCAAGATAATGTGTTTTTGACCACTCACGTGCGCTCTCCTCCACTGCCGTCACTCGACTACTCTAGACAGACGATCCGACGCTCTGGGTCTGTCCTGCCTTGGGAAGCCCTTGGTGCGTTGAGGTCGATTTATACGAGTTCTAGGCTGTAGTTGCCGACATGTGGAGATAAAAAGTGAATAAAACAAAGGTCTCTAGAAAAGGGTTCGAATACGTATACTGTAGGTCTAAAAAAAATTAAGGTGACCTTCCCTGGCCAGGTAAAAACGACCTACTTCCCTGGCCAGGTAAAAACGACCTACTTCCCTGGCCAGGTAAAAACGACCTTCCCTGGCCAGGTAAAAACCATAGTAGTCACCACCATAATGTCAGGTTCACTTGATCTGAAGTTGTAAGAAAAAAAGACTATTACTTCAACAAGGAACTCAGTTGCCGCAGCGAATACCTAAACATGATAAGATGTGTTCCTTAGTTTTTGATGTAACCTAACCTAACCTAACATAGTAGTGCATCTCTCACCTTTATAATACAATACCAAGCATGCATACCACTGACCTGCTTGCGATGGTAGACTGCGAGTGTAAAACTGTTGGCTCTAAATTTGTAATATAAAAAGTGCTTTACAATACACGACTACGGTTGTGAATACTTGACTACAAATGGCACCGCCCTCCTCAAGGTACCGCTTGCCTCTCACTCCCACCCTCCCTTTGAGGTTGTGAGGAACATGAGTGGCTTCAGAGGATTATTGATTTGTTTAGGAGTTGTAACTTAACGCTTGTTTGTTTGGGTATGATGATCATCCAGCTATGGTACAATGATAGGAGTTTTAAGGGTGTCACCTAGGCTGTTGAGTTCTGAGGTGACTAAAGAGGCCGATACGGGACCGGCAGGATCGATCACAGATGTTGCACATGTGGGGGGGCTACATCTAGTGCGGGAGGGGCGGCGGCGAAGTCTTTCCGGCGTTGGTGCTGGTCTGCCTCGTTATGCAGTCGGGATAACTCGAAAGTATTGACACCTTCTTGTGTGGTGATCCTCTAAGTGTTACGGTGTGGAGTAATCGTCTACCAGGTGAGGGGGTCGATTTGGCACTTTTCAGGTTTGTCTTAAGACTATCCTTATACCTTTTCAGTTGCCCGCCAGCGTTACATTTACTGTTCGTTAGGTGACTGTAAAGTAGCTGCTTTGGCAGTCTACTGTCGTCCATGCGCGTAATTCTTCATGGATAATGGTAGCCTCGATGCTTCTACAGTTGGTGTCAGCAAGAATACTAGCATTTGTTCTCTTGTCTTCCCAGCGAACCCGGAGGATGCAACGTAGACAACGTTGGTGAAAGTTTTCAAGTGCCTTGAGGTGCCTCCTGTATGTGACCCATATCTCGCTGCCATATAGCAGGGTGGGGAGGACCACTGCTCGATATACGAGTAACTTTGTAGATATTTTCAGGTCCCTACAACTGAAGACACGGGTAAGGAGTCTGCCAAAGGCTCGAGATGCGCATCTGATCTGATGCTGAATCTCTACATCGATGTCGGTGGTGGTGGACAGGTGGGAGCCGAGATACCGAAAGTGGGTAACATTAGAGAGAGTGGCACCGTTAAGCTGGCTGGATGGTGGAGGTGTGTCTGAACCAGGGGCAGGCTGAAAGAGAATCTGATTGTTACGTGCATTCACCTCAAGGCCGAAGTGTGCATATGCATCTGCGTAGGTGTTCAGGATCTCCTGTAGGTCGCGTTCAGTGTGAAGACGAGGGTGAGGTCGCCTGCATACTGAAGCTCAGTAATGGAAGCTGCCGACACCTCTGTTCCTGCCTGGACTCGTCTTATTTTGAAAAGACCCTTCGTCCGGTACTCGATGTCCACCCAGCCGGCTAGATTGGCGCTGGCATGGGTAAGGAAGGCAGCCAAGAAAATGAAAAAAGAGATCTGGTACCAGTACACACCCTTGATTAACCCCCGTTTGGATGGGGAAGAACTCAGACTGGGTGCCATTGTGTAGGACACTGCCGTTCATGCCATTGTGGAGTTGCTTCACAATGGCGATGAATTTTGGTGGGCAGCCAAAACGGCTGTTGACTTGAGTCGAAGTCCTTGGTTAGGTTGATGAAAGCCATGTACAGGTCACAAGGCTATTCTCTGCACTTTTCCTGTATTTGAAGGGTAGCAAAGATCATGTCAGTGGTGCCACGTGATGGTCTAAAGCCACATTGAGATTCTGGGAGGAAGTTTTCCACCTCAGGAAGAAGTCTGTTTAGGAGGACTCGGGCGATAATTTTGCCAGCTACGGACAGCAGCGAGATCCCGCGGTAGTTGCCACAGTCTGACCAGTCTCCCTTGTTCTTACAAATATTGACAATGGAGGTATCTTTTCGAGGCCCTATTATACGTGATCCTCCTCCTTCCACGGAGGCCAGGTCGTCGTCCTCGTCGTCTTCCTCTTATACGTCGTCGTCCTCTTCCACGGAGGCCAGGTCGTCGTCCTCGTCGTCTTCCTCTTATACGTCGTCGTCCTCTTCCACGGAGGCCAGGTCGTCGTTCTCCGGAGACCCATAGTGCGGATCGTTTGAACTACACTTACACTGTAGTGAACAATAGGCAAAAGACCCACGCAGTAGACCACCCAGGGGAAGGGCGGCTCCTACGCCAGCGTAACCCCTTCATTCATAAGTGCTGCCGTCAGCTCATCTCTTTATTTTTCCAAGCCGTTCATCTTTGAGATCGTTAACCAACGGGATGTTCTCCCAATGGCCGGCGACAACTTTCTCAAGGGGTAAAACGTTTTCCAAGGGTAGTTTTAAATTTTTATCAGATGGGGAAAAATATTGGAGAAAAGTCTTCTGATTTTGGAGAAGAAACTCACTTATTAGGCTTGAAGGAGAGAATGTAGTTAAGCTTGCTTTTCTAATTTAATAAGATATGAGGTAGTGAAGATTACAGCCTCAGTTTAGACAGAAGGTAGTGAAGATTACACACACACACACACACACACACACACACACACGGGTGCTTCCATTGTTACCTTGGCAGTGTAAAATACAGTATACTGAACGCTTTTGCTTGGGTGAATCTTAACCACAAGGGATTAAATCAACGCTTGATAAACTCCTGAATAAAAAAACACATTATAAGGTTTACAGAAAGAAACCAAACAAAAACAAAGTAAAAACGTAATGGTAGCCGATACGTAACGCTTGGATCGGGGGGGTAGTAAAATTGTAACCCGACAAAAAATTACGTTGTGCGTGTTGTCCTTGTCAAAAACAAAACAGGTGTTTTTGTTGTAGTTTTTGTTCCGCGGGAGAGGGTGGGGGGGGGGGTAGGATGGTATGTTCTGTATATGGGGAATAGCTCTAGTTCAGTGTTTGTCTTGAAATAAAATGAATATAACCGGGAAAGTGTATGTAACCGGGAAAATGAAAATATAGCCTTTGGAATGCACTTGTCTGTATAGTTTAACCAGAAAAATGCAGCTCTCTTATTGGTGTCTAATATATAACGTAACAGCGCACTTAACCTTTAGAGGACGATTGTACTCTAGGGGTTAAGATATCGTACTCAAGGGGTCCAAGACTTTTGTTTATATATTGGAGAAACAACGACCATGATAACATTACCAGTTAAGTGAAGACAAAGTAAATGTTTGGTAGTAAGAACTGTGAACTGTGTACTGGTGAAGTGTGATCTGTGTGTACTGGTGAAGTGTGATCTGTGTGTACTGGTGAAGTGTGATCTGTGTGTACTGGTGAAGTGTGATCTGTGTGTACTGGTGAAGTGTGATCTGTGTGTACTGGTGAAGTGTAAATTGTACTGGGTTGGGTACTAGCGACATCTAGGGTGAGTACAACTAAACACGCTGAAGACTTTTAAGTACTCAATCATCTAGATCAGGGGTCACCAAACTTTTTTCACAGTGGGCCGGATAACTGAAAGAATGACGAGCGCGGGCCGCATAATCATTCTGTTCAATACTTGCAAGCCAGAACGAAAGCTCTGGTAACGTCAGAGCGTAGGCGGAGCTACCACGAGCCGGGGAAGGACTTGGGATCCGGCCCGCGGGCCGTAGTTTGGTGACCCCTGATCTAGATATAAGACCAACATATCGCCACCAAGCAAAAAGAGCATGACAAAAACAATTAGATCTCAAGGACCCACTTATAAGACGTGAGGGGGGGGGGGTCATGCAGGTGATTATAGGGAACTGCAGGTATGAAGTCACTCAAGTCTACAGAAAGTTACAAGACAAGCGAGGTTATCCTAAAACTATATCTTGAGCTTGTGAGACCTCACTTGGATTACGCAGTTGAATTCTGGTCACCGTATTACAAAATGGATATAGAATCCCTAGAAAGAATTCAGAGGACAATGACAAGACTAATCCCGGGCATTAGGAACCACGTTAATTTGCACTCAAACTATCCAACCCGGAGCGAACTCGTAACAACGGTTTTAAATTAGACAAACATTGGTTTGGAATCAGAGTAGTGGATGAATGGAACAAGTTACCAAATATCATCATTAACTCGAATACGCTGAATAGCTTCAAACATAGGTTGGATGCTTATATGATCAATAGGGGTTGGGTGTAAACGGGACTGCCCAGTATGGGCCAATAGGCCCGCTGCAGTTACCTCCATTCTTATGTTCTTATCTCTGCCGTAACCTGTTCAAACGGAGCGTTTTAATGAGGGGCCGACTCGAACCACGATGCCACCCTTCCAGTTATAGCAATGATGAACCCGCCTCAACCAGACCCCACTAAAACTCAAGAATATAAACACTGCTCAGTATATAAACGTCGATAACCTTAAGATTTTACAACGTTTTTCCCGAATTCTTTGATATGATTCAAATTCCATCAAACGTAACCTCTAAATATGCTGAATCAGGTTAAGAGTGTCAAGGCGCTGATATCTTCATCATCATAGAGCAAGTTGACGCTGTGCGTCTCTTAGTTGATGTCCCTCACAAATTCTTTCTTGCCAGGTTACTCTTCTGCCCAGTGTTCTCGTTCCACCTTGTAATCATGAATAAATCCTAACTAGATGATCATCATCTGTTCTGCTTACATGACTAAACCACCTTAGATGGCTTACTCTTAATTTCTGAGCGAAT